CAGTTCAATGCATTCTGCAAACTGCCAGAGATCTCCATCAAATACTATTGTTTTCTCCAACCCTGTACCTGGACACCACAGCATTTGGTGCACAAACTACTCATACTATCTAATTAGAAGCCCTGAACCAGACTCTAAGCCAGTCTGGATTACAATCAAGGACAAATGCACCCAGCCTGGGCTGGACCTGCGGCTTCCTTCTTGCTTGGGGAAGAAAAAGGAACTGACACACCCTGTCGCCCCAAACATTTCACATACCATCTGATTAGCTAGCCTTCCTGATAGCTAGCTTTCCTGCATACCAGCAGCATTTCATCTCCCTCATATACACACACACACACACACACACACACACACACACACATTACCTGCCCTATATTTAGTAAGACTCTTGAGATGAAACTGCATTTATGCAACTGTGATCTTGTTTGCAACATTCAAACTGTTGAGTGTCCATCTTTGTTAGACAGCCTAAAATCAGACAACAAACTCCAGAATTGGAACACAGCCTTTCCTCTTGAAATGTACCCCACCCATTACTATACGTCCCTGCTTGTATAATAACCCGAAGGCGCAGATCTGAGATCTTGAACTCTAACGAAAAACATGTAGGTATTTGTCTTTGGTGAATGAAAAATTCCTTAGGGCTGTGCATTCCCCTTCCAAACAGCTGGCTTATGGAAAAAAAAAAATTGAGAGAGGACATTCACACCATAACCACTGCAATTTAAAAGGAAACGCCAGTTAAGGTACCTGGTGTATTTTGGTCAATATTTGTACTACATCTTAACACTGACACTTTGGTAGATCAAGCAACGACAGCCCACATATGCAAGTCCAAGGCGCTGACCTACAGGCATGGACCACCAGTTACCGAGCTACTGGAGAAACATGTGACGGGTCAAGGTGAAAGAGGGAGTTAACTTTATTTCACGGGAGCGATGACGGGCTGTTATAGGTCGGCTCCTGTCCCACAAGCTATTTGTTCCGGATCTCCGGAAACATTTTGGGTCAGTTAAGCTTGAACGCGAATTCAGGGCACTGGGTGACTTTAAACCCGGCACTGGTACAGTGTTACACTGCATCCCACGTGAATGAGTTCAGCTGATGCGCTTTTCGAGAGAAATTAGGTCCACTTTTCAATCTCTAGCATCCGTTACAACTTAATCCACATTCACATGAACAAAGGAACTATTCTGCCGTATCGAGGAAAAAAATGATTTTCACAGCGTATGACTCATAATACAAAACGAATAGAAACAGACTGGCAAGCTTTCAGGGGAAGGCGGTGTGGGTAAAGAGAAATTCGTGCCATACAAAATGCACGTTAAAAGTGTCGTGTTTTTCTTCATTTGTATAGTTTAAAAGGACCGCATTTACACTGAAGTCTGACCGCAACAGTGCGGCAAAGTAACGGTAAGTTTCGCAACCTACCGGACATTTTGGTGAGCAGTAACAATAAAAGCAAAGCATGTAGTTTTAAATGGCCAAAGAACTTTTTAGGGGCAGATTATCGACAACTCCATTACCAACTACATAGACTGGGAAATAATAAAAAAAAAAAGACAACACCAACCTATGGACACCAGTTTGATGTTTTCTTTATCCAGAAACTCCAGCGCCACCGACACGTTTTCTAGTTGCATCTGTCGGAAGGTGGGGCGCTGGTTGTATTTTCGGAACATCTTCTTCTGGCTGAGAACCTCAAGCAGGGCGATGAGCCGAAGCCCGTCGCTCAGGTCGGTCTGCAGGTTGGCGATGCGCTTGTTCACGCACTTCAGGTGCTCGTTGCACCAGCGGGTGAACGTGTTCTGCTGGATCTTCTTCCATGGCGCGTCCTCGGCCAGATCCTTCTCCGTGGCGGGCATGTCTGAGTCCTTGTCTTGAACGAGAGCAGCGTTGATGACGGGTGCGCTCGACTGGTGGAGGCGTGGGAGTGGACTGCTCATTTTTATGGACTTACTCTCTCACCCGTTCGCTGACTAAATTTTTTGGGTGGGGTCAGAAGAATTTTACAATTCCTCGCAGCTGCTTCTTTCGTAGCGATGGTCTAAATGGGGAAAAGAAAGAAAGGAATGGAAAGAAAATGTTGAGACAATGAAAAATTAATCGTTCGAGTTCTTTTTTTAGGACTTTCTTCCCTCTGGTTTGCCGTGTTTCCGAAGGGCAACCTTGCGCTTGAAACAAAAGTTATGGAACCGAAGGAAAGTCCATTAGTCCGAAGATATTTTACTCTTTTCATCGGGAGTTCCTTACTGCATGTGAACTGCTAAACATACAACTATACCATAAAGAATTAGTTCATTAAATAAACGTAAAGTTATCCTAAACGCTGATAGGCCTGTTCCCATTTCGTACAGGGGTGCTTGCCAGTTTTGGAATGTTGCTTAAACACGCAACAAATGTTACGTCTTAATTGTACGAGCTTAAATGTCTGAACTTGTTATGTAATACCACATCAGTCGTGTCTTCTTGCTTTTAATGGACAGGAATGCTGAGAGTTGCAAATGTTCCAGCTGTTTTTCATAATAAAGGCAAAAACACATCTCCCTACCCCGAACGACTGAAAAACACATTTATTAGGATCTATCACACTTCAACTTCACTTACCAAATGTGAGCGATAACCAGCTATTGACAGCTTACAACTGCCAATGGAAAGGTAAAAAGCCCAATGTAACTTTGACTGGGTATAAAACTTGCCAAAATCCAACAGACCTATACCTCTTACTCTGGTTTTGCAATTATTAATCATTTGTATATTGTCATGTCTTATATATGTCATTTTGAATATTTATACTATGTCACACGAAACCTGAATGGTTTTTACAGACATTTTTTTTTAATGGAAGAACTATTGAAATTCTTAATGAAACTGAAAATTGAAGAAACTAATGGCGTGTCAAGTAACTGTTGGAGTCAAAGTCTCAAAGTAGAGTTGGGGGTTACTTTCTCATTTTCAGGAAATACACACCGAAACATTTAAAGTGGGTTAGCTAATATTCCCAAATGACCACGTTTAGAACCCGAAAGTTTTGTTGCTTAAAAAACAGAGACCTATTCTAATTCTTCAAATTGCAACCACAGATCCAATTACAGGTAATCTTTTGCTATCCACGAAAATATATCTCCGAAATGTTTTAAACTGCATCATCAATTGAAAAATTATAATAAATCAAGAGAAAAATCTCGCATCGTACTAACTTGACATGCCACACCTAAATGCTGACAATCAAATTTTGACAATCGGTATTTGACGCCCCCTAGTACACGTTTGGTGTATTACAGCCTCATCTGAAAAGACTGGCCTCATACAGCAGACACCTGACATACTGATAATTAATTAATAGTATAATAGTATATTACATATTTCCAGATTCTTGCAAACCTTCTTTATTTGGTTTTGTTGATTGTATAAACAGGCAGTCTGTTGTTATTTATCTGTACACAGTATAATGTGTACAGAACTCTACATCATAATAAAATCAGTACCAACAAAACCATCTGTTAATACAGTGCAAGCAATGCATCAGTGAAACAGTATATATATATATATATATATATATATATATATATATATATATATATATATATATATATATATATATATATATATAATAGCAATTATATAAACAGTAATTATATAAAACTTTAGTTGCTTTTAGAAAAAAAGATTAGGGTAATTCCAAGTGACAATACCTTCTTGGCATGAACGTTTTTCTGCCACACTGTCAGTGCACGAAGTGAGAAAGATGTAGCTGCGCGCGAAGCGTGCGTGTTATCACACTAACCACACCTTCAAGAGCACTCGCGAAGCGAAGAGAAAGAAACGGAACTCGAGACGCGTATTACTTTCGTTCTTCCCGCAACGGGACCGCAGGAGAGAAGATCTGAATATACGGGCTAAGTGAGACGCACTGATTGTAACCATTGCAAACAAACGTGTAACTATAGTAACAATGTTTTTCATTTGTTTTTATGGCATCGGAATAATGTGGAGGCTGATATAACGCAATAACTAGTCATCCATCCCCTGACGTTATGGTAATCTCCCTTGTTATGCTGTACAGATCTTTAGGGTCGGCATTAATAGGTCGCAGCCTTAGGTCTGGCACCCTTAAACCGGCTCCGTACTGCCAGGCCCGTGCGTACGAGGGCGCACGCGGCTCCCACATCACTGAACAGGCATGAAACAGACCTTTTCCATATTTTGCCATATTTGGTGACGAGGCCATAATTAGATTACCGGAATTGTGCATTTTAAATATTGCAATAGCAAACTACTCGTGCATATGTTCACCACATTAATAAGGACTGTTATAACAATTAAACAAATAAATGTTACAAAAGTTCGTATCAAACATATAAATATCAAGAAAATATAACAAAGATGAAAAGATTTCTCTTGTTAGCGCAATTTCTGATCTATCTGCAAGCAATAAACAGGTATTTCATCCCACAATGTAAGGCGAAAATAGCATTTAGGAGTAATACAAAACTGTTCTCCAAGTATGCACAGATGTTTAAACGTAGTTTCTGATTCACAGCGTACCATGTTTCAACAAATACAGTAACATACATATAACTGATCTGCCCTATAGCGGACAAAAAAGGATACCGACCTTAAAATATCCAAACGTTACCCTTTCCCTCAGACATTACAGTACCCAGTACACAGGTCGACATAACTTTTTAGACTTCCATGTAGAACAGCTGACAAAACTTTGGAGATTTAGATAACCCGTTATATTTCAAACAAAACCCGCACAGAGTATCACTGCTTGTATAATAACTTAATATCAGCTATTTACATATATGTAAACTAAAGAAAGATAAAGTTGAAATCTGAAACACGCTTTTTGCTATGTACCATGTACCTGTGTTTCTCGCCTTTTCTGCCTAAAATACACTTGGATCGCCTTCCTTCTCCCGCTGGGGCGTGCGTAAAGCCACACCAGTGAAAATGTACTTTGTCTCCGTACCTCTGGATCACCGCTACGGCTGAGAAAGAACAAGACTGACACCCCTTGGTCTTCTATATCTCCCTCTCTCTTTTCGCCGTTCTATTGCAAAAGCCTTAATTGGTAAGATGTAAAAGGGGGGGGTGTGTTTTTTTCTTATGGAGTGAGTATGTTTCAGTAGAGGGCTGACGTTATACCGGCGACCGCGCCTCCGGATTGTAACGGTATGATGTCACCCCCTTCGGCTCGCATGTTCAGCTCTGAACTCGCATCTTGCATCCGGCAATGACGGCTGACCCTGGATCGGTCTGCAGTTATTTTGCCTCGTAGTCGTCAACAAAGAATCGTCTTCTCATTTTCTGACTTTCTTCCTACCTATTGGTGTAGACCATTCAGCTTTAGGTGAGCACAAAATCTTCTCTTTTTTCCTTATAATCACAGAAAGGGGAGAATCCGAGAAGACACGCTGCAAATGTCGATGCTCTTACGCCTGGGTTTAATGATTTGCAATACTCTTCACTATGTATTTGCCACTGGCTGAGCAAATCCTGCAGCGAGACAGGAAATAAAACCAACATTTAATCCTAAAATGAACAGGCCAGCGTCCACCAGCTTGCTGATTCTCCATGGTACAAAAATACCCAAATGCCACAGGTGAGTTCTGAACCTGAATCTGTCCACCAACAAAACACTGCTGCTATTGTGAGATAATGAACCATAATGACATCTTTCTTAACTGTTCCAAGCCTTCGGTGATTCATGCGGACTGTTCAAACAAGCGAACTGGAAGCAGAATCTACTTTTCTTCTGCCTGAAGAAAGCCCTGAACTGGCACACAAATAAGGAGTTGACCTTTATACTAATAAGTTGTTAGCACTATATGAACCATCATAGTCAGAGTCTTTAAGTATGCACATATCACCCGTGCAGTCAGACACGCCCTTTTCAATGCCAGCTAATCAGATGTCACTCTAATGCCGGTTTGTGGGAATTACTCCACTGGCACAATATGTAAGAATTCTTGGTCGCAACTTTACATCCTGCCTCTTTGGCTCACGGTTGTTATTTGTTTATTTTGCAGATGGTTTGACGATAAGCATCACATTTATTTTGAGAGAATGCAGGGTCAGTCCCCGGAGCGATCGGGGGTTAAGTTCCTCGCACGAGGACCGAGCAGCAGAATCACTCTGACGACCCTGGGATTTAAACTGCTGACCTTCCAGCGACACGAACGGTATCCAGTCCTGCTGAGCCGCACACTGTCCCAAGATTAATGAGTATACTGTTAGAAGACTTCTGCAAGCAGGCTATAGATTCGAAGGAGTGTAGCTCTGTGTGCTGAGCTTATCTGGATTTTCCCATCTAAGTGTGTGCCAGCGGTTCAAATGGGGTTCTTTGTCAACCTGACCTTTGTAGTTCTGCTTAGTATGTATTGTCCCACCAAGGCTGCAGCCTAGAATATGTGTGTGAGTGTGTGTGTGTATGTGTGTGAGATAGAGAGAGAGAGAGCTTGTTTGTGTGCATGCCATCAGTAATGTGACATACCCCACCCTTCCTTTTCACTCATTTCTCTTTTTTTTTTTACTCAGTCATGCTGTTTTGTAGAACACATGGTAATGTTCAGTGAGTACTGAACCTTAATCCTCCTGTTAATGGTGCATGATTAATGCATAATTTTTCATTGCATTCTGACACCCATTCAGTCTGTTCAGTATGAATACATACAGATGGTTGAATCTGCTCATTAAATTCCCTGTATTTTACATGGTGGTGACATCATTGGTATCTGCAACACTGTCAGGACCTGCTCCTCTGCCGTCTGTCTGTAAAAGGGACCGACACAGACCCTTTCAGCCAGATTCTGACTTTGTAGTCCAGAAGCAGCACAGTGCTGGAAGCACCTGAGGCGGGACAGGAGGCACACCTGTTTGGATTGGATTTCACCATAAATATACGACTGTCGGACATCATGACGTCAGCGTACTTTACAGCCACTTCCCTGTGTCGTTGTAACAGCCGTGTGGGTTTGTGGCGCAGACAGGTGTTACGACACGGCCTGCTGTCCTTGAGGAATCAGCGGCCAGGTCGCTGCATTTTCATGCCGCATCTCATGAAGATGCACAGATAAGAAAGCGATGAGTCGAGGGGCCCGAGGCTGACATCAGCATGGACAGTCAGGTGTTGCCGATTTAACTAACTGCTCCATTTTTCCTGAGGTGTGGGTGGGGCCCTGATGTTTGCCTGTGCGTTAATCCACCCCCTGAGTGGACCACAGCGGAATGAGATGGTTTGCTGTAAAATCTCTCTGTCTGGGGCGCTGTGCTGCTATGAAGTGACATCATAACACTCTGGCTGAACTCAGTGTGCATTTAAATTCCCTTTTGATTTGTGGAATTTGAGGAGCCTGGCAGGAATTTTCATCCCAAAATCACCGGACAGCTAAAAACGTTGCAAATATTAAAGTCTGCACCAGCCCCCTGTAACTTCAACCAAAAGACGTGCCAAAATAAACCATTGAAGGTATTTCTGTGTGTAATGTTTGTGTAATCCAACAACATACCAAGGCAGTAACCAAAGACGAACATGTCTGTGTGGCGTAACGGTGGGCGTGTGCTTCAAGTTTGAACTGAACTTAATATATGCATGGTGACGCAATCAAAAGGAAAGCCAGCACTGTCTCAGCTGTACCTTAAAATCTTTCTGAATTTCCTGCTTAGCCAACAAGGTGAGTGTGTAATGCAGGTAGCGGATCTGGTGACACAGAACTGGAAATGGGCTTGGGTGAGTTTCTTTCCTGTTTTTATACAACCTCTGTTTCCCTGCGATCCCTGGAGCCAGGATGATGTTGTTTCAGATGCTGCAGCTTTAACAGCTTTTACATTTTGCATGCATGACTCTGCAGTGGCTCAGTGGACACAGATACCTCCAATACCCAGGGTCTGGGGTTTTTAATCTTGCTTCTGCTCTCTGCATGGAGCTCCTGGATTGTTTCTCCCCGGTGCTCAGTTTTTCTCCTCCGGGCCACAGCTGTGCAGTAAGGTCTGATTAGCTTCTCTTAACTGCCCATTGTGCACCCTATGATCAGCTGGCATCCCATCCAAGGTGTACCTCAGCCTTGTGTCCTTTGCTGCCTGGGATACACTGTCAGAAATATATACCAATTTGTACCTTTGAGGGTACAATTACTTGTCACTGTGGCTGTACCCTCAATGGTCTGCCAAATTTACCCTAGCTGTAGGTAAACGCACCTTTTAAGGTACAGAAGTGGACTCTGAGAAACATTTTTGTACCCTTGGCGGTACAGTAATGTTGTTTGTACCTTGGGGGACAAAACCTTACCAGGGCTGTACTCCTCTCTCTGACAGTGTCGACTCCAGGCCTCAGTGACCGTGACCCGGACGAAAGATTCGACGATGGACTGACAGACTCTGCCACTCTGTTTGTCTGTCGTGTGCCAGTCCCACTGCTTTCCAGCACCTCCACAGTAACACATAGTGGAATCCAAAAAGAACACAGTGCCAGTACAGACTCAGCAGCCCAGGATGCATCTAGGTGTTTATAAGGTGCTGATAGCATCTCCCCCATTTGGCAGCTGCAGGTTATAATATACTGGATGAAGCACAATCTGCAGTTCCTAAAATAAACAGTCCTCAGCTCTTCCCTTTAACTGAGATCTAAATTCACTGCAGTGTAGAAATACATTTATGCTTTGGCTTCATTGTCTCAGGAAAATGCCACTAACTTCAGCCTTTTAAGAGTAATGTGATATGTCAGAATGAAGCGGTTACTCTGCAGCACGACTGATCTGGTGATGCCGTTTTAAACTGGTTAGGCAGTTTGCCCATGTTGTTAAAGCGTTTGGTTTTTCATACTGGATGATTGTGATTGTGTGTCAGAATGTGTTTTTCTAAATTCACTTAAACAGGAACTATGCGGTGCCCTGTCTGGTAGGCAGGAAGAACAACGGCTGAATCATTCTTTAAAAACCACAGCCGGGAGGCATCTTTATACTGCGGCAAAAGTAAAGAAAAACCAAATATTCTAGTCATCTTCATCATTTTGTTGAAGAAAATAACAGGAACAGAAAAGTCAATAGAATCAACAAAATGCAAGGCTCCGCCCACAATAAAACTACAACCAACCACTAAAAGCCAGACCCTGCACTACGACCAAATACCCCACATGTAATGACACCCAGGTTCACCCCTTCAGGCTCATTGCCAGTCCTCACTTGCTGGCTAACAGCTTAGTCAGTTGGACACCTTCAGTCTTTCATACTTGTGTTCTCACTCTCACTCGCATCCAGTGTTGGGCATTTCAGGTCCTGAAGCTACAAATCCAGACCAGGGTTTTGTTTCTACCAGCCAGCTGATCATAAAGAGTCACAGAGTTCTCAGCTGGTTGGTAGAAACAAAATCCTGGTCTGGATTTGTAGCTTCAGGACCTGAAATGCCCAACCCTGTTTGCATCCTTGTTCATCCACTCCAGATCAAAGAGTAAGCCTTCTGACCCCTGCCCCTGGCTGGGATGTGATTCTCTGAGGCTGTGTCACAGTGGTTGCCATTGAACAGGGCTCAGATTTGGTAGAACCTCTTTTATAAAGAGACAAGGCTCATACAGGTCCTGCAGACCCCGAAAACATGCTCGTGATGAAAGCCTAAAGCCGAAGTTTCAAAGATTGGATTCAAACATCTATCTTAAATTTATATTTTCTCATTTGAAAAGTAATCAAGAAGCTTGGGTAGATGTGCCCCCCTCAGCTGAGGGGGATGCATTTCATGTCATCTTTCTGCTCCCCTATGGCAGGAAACACACCTAGAATCTGTCTGGTCCTGTCACTGCTTGAGTGAAGCTGGAAATAAGTCTTGTTTAAAGTGTGATGGCACAGCGAGACTCTCCTCTCATTCTGTTCTCTCTTCCTCCTTCTCTCTCACTTTTCCTTTTCCTTGGGCTGTGAGCAGTCCAACTTTGGAATTTTTCCCCAGACAAGTCAGACTGAATCCAGCCTATCAACATGAAACAGCTTGTTGTGAGCATATGTGCATGTGTTTGGACATGGAACACAGTTTGGCCAGTTGTGTAACACAGTAACTGCTATGTGTAGCTTGTCAGATATTGTCCACAGAATTGAATGTTGATTATTATAGTGATAATCCTAGAGCTGTATCACGTATGCACTCTGATGCCAATCATGTGTGGTCTGATAATCTCATTAGGCTAATCGGCAGGGTTAACATCTAGCACGTTTGTGTGGAGGTTACCATTGACTCATCTGGAAGGGCATTTTCTCCAGCCCACTGAGTTGTGAGGTCCCATAATGCCTTTCAGCTTTGTGACTCAGTGGTAATTCCAATGTACCACGGTCCCCTGTCATATTAATATAAAAATACAAAAATCATGACAGCATCTCAGCTTATGCTCTTATGCATATAGTTTTATTGACTGAAGCCAAAAGTTGTGAGGTGGAGACAGTTGTCTGCCTAGACAAAGTTTCTGCTAACAGAAAACATGGAGCAGTTTTATTCTGGTTGTTTAGTATTTTTGAGACATGTACAGTGCTCACAGAGAGTCTGGGAATGCTTGCACGATTCAGTAAAAATATCGCTAATTCATTGGTTTTATAACCAAGATCATTACTTCATTTGTATACAATGAGTCTACCAGTCAAAAGGTTTTGCACGCACTGAGATTTTCTACATCTGCATGTTCATTTACTAAAAATACACTGAAAATTCTTTGCTACCAAATTATTTTACAATATGTTCACCATTTGAGTACCTTAATTAGCAAAATATCATATCTTTGATTCACCAAAGTAACCTCTAGCAGTTAAAACAGCAGAGAAAATTCAAGGCATTCTTTCTCCAAGGGTCATTAAATACCATTCTGTTTCATGGGATGAAGTACATATAAAGTTAAAGGACAATTTGACTATGCCATCACCACACAACCAGTTAATAGGATGTCAGACACTCTTACATACTCTTTCCATGTTATGAAGGAAACTTGTTTTATTTGACTTATATTTTCATTTATAGTTCATCTCATCACCCAACTTTCCAATGCTTAACAAGAATAAAAAAAATCTGCAGTTTATGAAATAAATGGAAATGTGGTAAAAACCTGTGGTGTGCAAATACTTTTGACTGGTAATGTGTATCACATTAGAAACAACCAGTGGTTTTAAGTAAGATATTCATGTCAAACAGTAATAAATTGAAACCCAAATTATAATTCTAAAAGACCTTTTCTGAGTTAAAATGTTAATTGACAAGCAGTCTCTTTGGATGCTTTTTAAATTAGTAACACCTTTCCAATAACATAAAACAAACATTTGTGTTTAGTATCCCTTTGGGAGCCAGTCACTGCAATTACAATTAATACTAAAATTGCAAGAAAAGAACTGAATGAATCAAAAAATAAGACACTTAATGAAAATAGTATATATGTGCAGAAGATATATGCAGATATGTTAAAAAATATTTGTCAATGGACTTTTGTTATATATCCAATAGGTCTGCAACATTTTTACAGAATTTAGCAAGTGTCTCAAAACATTCTGTCAGCAAAAATGTTTATAGGGTTACATAAATGTTACATTTACATATTTAGCAGTCCAGAACATGTCATTAACCCTTAATTTCCCCACCGTGTGTCTGATTTAAACAACATAGTGTGATGTTTGGACCACTGTTAAGGGGAATGGAAGAGTTTTCAGATGCAGGGACGTAGATTTGGTTACGGGTGGTAGGAGTACTGTGTGTGTGTGTGTGTGTGTTTAGGGGGCGGGGGGGTTCAGGGATGATTTGGTCCTTTCCAATGTTGAACCCAACCTACACTTTTGTTCAGTTCCAGAACATCATTATTTAAACCACAAGCAGAAATAAAACTGTCAATTCAGAGAGGCTTTATCACACTGCAGGCCTCACACTACAAGCAGAGTGAAGAAAACCCCCCCTCCCCCCCCAACCCCCGTCTGGAGTGCACAGGCTTTCTGCTGTCCTGACAGATGCGGCATTTCAGACAGTCCTGCTCCATGTCATCCCAGAGGAGAGGAGTAGCTAAGAGGAGAGGAGCAGCTAAGAGGAGAGGAGTAGATAAGAGGAGAGAAGTAGCTAAGAGGAGAGGAGTAGCTAAGAGGAGAGGAGTAGCTTTTCTTTCACAGATAAAAACGAGGCCATCACAACAGAAGGGCAAGACCTGCAGCTTTCTCAGTCTTTTCGAAAAACACTGTTGAAAATATCACAAAACATGTACTTGGATGGAAAATACACATCTTTGCAGAGTCTTTGAGGAGTCTTACTTCATCTCCACTCCAGATATCTCAGGACTTCTTTGAAAGGGAAAACCTTTTCCTTATACTGACCTCCACTCATCATGTAATCTCATTTTTTCCATCATATCATGTACAAATCTTTCATTTTGATTTTCTTTTTTGTTATTTTTCTATTTGTTATTTAAATACAATAGGAGAAATGACAAATAACAAAGGTATTTCTGAGTTCAGATGGCAGTTATCCAGTATTTCTTCAGAGAGAAAATACAACTTTTGCAGTAAAATGTTCCTGTGGGATGCCGTATAAATTTACAAGCAAAAATATTTTTTAAGTCTCAGTATAACGATGAAGACGTAGTGGAAGATTGCCTTAGAGATTTACCAAAAATACAATTCCTCTGTCACTCACAATCTCCAGCACCAAGTGAAACGATGCCACACATTTAGAGAAGGATTTTTAATGCCCACAGTGACCCCTGCACTCAAACTCAGACCATTCAGCAGTCTGACTGCAAACGTCATACGTGCTGCATTTAGTTTTTAAGTGCAGTTTCAGGTCATGTCCTACATTTTATTTTTATATAGTGGAGGAAAGACCGACATTGATATGCTCCTAGTCTGTCATGACATTGGCTAAGCTTTTTGGAAAACATCTTGTAAGGAAAGGAAACAATGATTTACAGTCTGGCCACTTCCTGGGAGATCAGCCTGATCTTTATTTTGGACCTATGACTGAAAATGGAATTTCAGCTTCATCCCAGACTACATAAAATTGGACTAAATGCCAAAGTGTTCAAGTTCTGGCCAAAGACCAAGTATCTCCCACAAGAATAGACATTAATGGATGTTTGCTGATTTCTATATCCAAAACACTCTGCTTCCCTTCTCCTCAAACATGATTTTTTTATCCCTCCCCAGCTCTCAGTGCTTTTAGGTTTTAATGAACTTTGTGGGGGGGCATTACATCACACAGTGAGCAAGAAGGGCAGAGGGACAGGGAGAGCATAGCACTGGTAGTTTTGCCCTTATATGGAATGAGGAATGTGGAGAAATGGAGGCAGCTATGACTGACTGATCTTTCTCTCTCTAAGTGACCCTTCCACCTCTGTGGCTCCCTCCCCCTTTGATCTGGATCCCCTTCTCTGTGATTAACCTTCAGGCCCACTGCGCAGTACACCAAAATGTACACATGCACACAACTGAAGAATGTAGCCTAAAATAAATCAGAGGGAGAACACGCAACTATCCTGTAGATGTTACACATCCATACCAGTTTGTTTAGCACATCTGGGAGCAGTCTGAATTTCAGGGGAGGAGAGGGGGGGGGTGGTGTCAGAAATGTGAATCTCTTTCGGTTTTGTCCCCTTTGTTGTGTGGTGATGTTTATCATGGCTGTGATGGCTGGGCGGACGGAGGGAGGTTTGCGGTAACATGTTAAGTAAACTGAAACGTGTCTGTGTGACATGATCCTGGATGTAGCTGTTATTCTTAGCGTGAAAAGACACCCATCATGTATGTGCTGCAGCATTTTAACACATTGCAAGGTTACCATGTATGATAAAGTCCACAGTGTGTGTTTTAGTGTTATAATCTACTGTATGTTAATTAATTTATGTTTAATCTGAGTGTGGGTTGCTGAGCTGTTTTCACATACTGAACGCAGACTCTAACAAGACAACTGCACCTCATACAATTAATACAGTTCTATAGTGTGGGTACTCACCTAGACACTCCAATTTCAAATCCCTTTCTTTACTCAGAGCCTGTACCAAGAAGCCAAATGTTAGCATGGAACTGGCAGAGGGAGCAGACACCATACAGTTAAAACAGGGGCACCGATAACTAGACACATTAATTACTAGCGATGGACAAATGAAGCTTCGTGAACCATTCGCTATTTTCCTCTCCCCACTAGATGGTGCTCTCTATTCTAAAAAGGGCTAACTGCTTTCTCAGCTGAATCATAAATTTAGTGCCACAGAGCTGTACATGCCTCAATGCAAACCAAGAGTGCCATCTAGTGGGGTAAAAAAATACAGCAAATGGTTCATGAAGCTTCATTTGGCCATCACTATTAGTTACAGTACCACTGCAAAGAGACCATACCACTCGACCATATAGTTAACACTCCCTAATTTAGTAATACCTCTTTAATCACCATTTGTACAAGTACAGGTACATAGGAATTTTTTATTTTTCATATATCCCATAATGCTCATCAATGAAACAAACATGTATACAGGTGAGAGCAAAGTGTGTACAGTCAGCGATTCATCCAGTGGCCCGGGAGCAGGTTTCAGGGCTAAAGGCCTAAACGCGATGCGAGATTCCCTGTTTGGCTTAATGATCTTCACCACTCAATAGAAGACGGTTGATCATTTCCTAACTTGCTTCCAGAGGTGAACAGTATGGCTTAAAGCAGTATGTATTATTTCAAGGGAGGAGACATGGCATAGCTCAATATAAATGTAACCAGTTAACTGCTATCGTTAATGAAAATGCTAATTGAGCCATATACGTAAAATATTGTCATTTTTTTATATGAGTGATTTTAAGCAAAGATATGTTGTATCTGAAGGAACTATTGAAGTGTCTCCTAAGATGTATAAAGTGAGTGTAAACAGTGAGTCATGTTTTATCTCGGAGAGATAAGTCATTCCAAACAGAGATCAGATAACAACTGTTTCTTTTCCCTCTGTGCTCTTGCATAGTAAAAGACCAGCATAGACACGTGGCAGAAGTTGGGTAATAAAAGACACGATACACTTAAAGCAAATGGAACTCTGGCAACACTTTTTGCTGGATTTCTTTTATCAGCATTGTGGGTTACAGCTGAGTTAAAGAAAGACCACCAAATCTCATAATGTGAAGATCACTCATGAAGTCCAGAAGGGGAGGTCTTTGTGAACATAAGATGGGGTGCAAAATGAAGTAAACAAGGCTACAGATTTCAAAAGAACATCGGCTGTCTTAAACTCATGATGCATTTTTAACAATGGATGTACCCGCATAATGAAGAATGCTATTGTTTTCTATATCAACACAATGCAACGTATCGCTTTATTTCAACAAAATGAGGAACGTAAAACTGCTGTTGTGAAATTAACTGAGCACTATTTCATATTTCCGTTAAAGCCCCGTTAGCTCAAGATTCCTTCTTACGAACATTTCAACCAGAACAAGTCCAGTTTATTTTCAGGCTTTAGAATGTGTTTGGCTGCCTTGGTATCCTTACCTTGAGAACAGTGTAGCAGAGGCAGGGAAACACCTGAGCTGTTCCTACTGTCTTGCATACTGGGAGAGAAAAATAGAGACCAACATCGTCAGATACCGTACGTGGGGAGGAATTAATCTCAAGCAGATTTAATTACACAGAACTTGGTGGGATTTATCTGGAGGGTGGGGGGGGGGGGTAACCTTGTTAAATGCCACCCCCCATCATCTTTATTAAATATCCACATATCTGACCTACCCAATCTGCTGAGCCTATGCTCTCACTGTATCGAGCAGCTGCTTCATAAACCCCCCCCCCCACCACCACCACCACCACCACAAAGCTGATTCAAATAAAGGTGTAAGTTAAATAAGCGCTTCTCTAATCTTTCTCTCAGCAGAAGACACAGGCACGGCAGCAGAGCCAGCCTTTGGGTGCAAGTGGCCCACCTTCACAGCTTCGTATGATCTCACGGCTCAGGTAGCTGGAACTGACACAAAACTTGTGAGGACAGGTTGTTCAGTGTGAGATCTCAGAATACAGAGATGAGCTCTGGGCCAGAGGAGACAGCTGGATGGCTGCAGGAGAGGAACAAAAGCATATTAAACAACTGAATTGCTGCCAAAATCAGTTATAAAATTAAATCCGAAGTTTTTTTGTACACAAGCATGTCATGAACTTCATCACATGAGCATAAAACTCAGGAATGTGTTTCCAGCTGAGTTCCACTCTTTGGTGGTAATTTAACTTTCGCTTCCTTTTAAGGGCCGCACTGTGTCATGTTTTCAGCAGACACTTTCCCAAAAATTTGAAGGAAAACTTACGTTTTGTTTTCACTCTCCTAGTAGGACAAACCTCTACTTTTAGTTGTCTAACGGTAGTAAACTGGAGGTATGCTAATTGTTTAGCATATCACTACATGCCTTTATGGTCACCTGGTTGCTATGACAACCAGTTGTTTGGAAAGCGCAAACACAGAGACAGAGAAAGGATTTCACAGTCTCTGGCGATGGGTGGATAAGTGATACGTCATGCATGCAGCTTATGCATCGGCCGTACAGTGCACACCTGGGACATTTGTATGACGCTTATCCACAAAAGTAGTTATTAAGGATTACCCTGGTAGCCCCAGTCCATGCAAAGCATATTTTATTTTATTTATTTTGTTTATTTTCTTTGTAACACTACAGAATCAGGTGTCAGAATCTGGCCCTCCAGGACTGGAGTTGGCCACCCCTGTGTTAGATTAAATTTAGAATATTTACATCCTACAGATATACAATTAACAATAATCACACAGATGATAAGATATAATTAATGTTTAACAATATGGACAATCTATATTTTTATAATCTAATGCAACTAAAAATTCAATCTATCTAAAATTTCTATGTATATGTCCATCCATTTTCCATGACCATTCAGTGAATGGTTGTGGTGATCCTAAAGCCTGTCCCAGAATGCACAAGGCACAGGGCTGGGTGCACCCTAGACAAGAGGCCAGCCCATCACAGGGCCCAAAGCACACACACACACACACACACACACACACACACACACACACACACACACACAGCATCCTTTTGTTCAAAGAGAACAAGGCAAACCTGGGGAGAACATGTTAATTCCACAAACACTGAGCAGCATTTCTGCAGTGTCTGCATGCCCCTAATCATTTACAGCTTTCTATACCCATAATCCTTCTTCTCTTTCATCATCTCCAGCATCTCATTACCTTCCTACTCAGTCAAATGTACTCTGCCAGCTATCATTTCTGTTGCTTTGCCCTCTTGTTCACTGTCTAAATATTGTTTTGCCAGGTTGTCTTTCAGACATTAAGTCATCGGGTACCTGAAGCCATTGTGGCCATTTTGTTTTATTTACTTCCACTACCTTCCCATCATGCTCCTCTGGCAGGGCCGGCCCTGGGTGTTCTTGTGGCCTAGGTGAGATTCCGCTGAGCGTCCCTCCCACTCACTCCCCCTCTCTCTTGCGCCCATGGCAAGCTGGCCCTGCCTTGGGGGGTACACTGGTTGCAGCTTTTTCAAAAAGGCTTTCAACTCGCTCTCAGATATTACAAGTGTCTCTAATCCAACTTGTCCTCATCAAAAGCACTACATTCCATATAAATCTTCAGCACACATTAGAATGAATGGCCTTAGGCTGAGATGTTTAAAAGGGTAGATGAGCACTTTTATCAACATTACAGATACCAGACAGAAAAGATCAATAATCATTTGAATATGAAGCATGCTTTTACAGGAAATAATAAAATTATTTCGACAAAATGTAAAGTGAAGGGAAGAGGATATATACACTTTGTTTTGCATGACTAAAAATGAAAGAGGCATATGAGCAACATGTTGCATTTGGGTGTGGACTGGGGTTTTATTTGTGCATGACACAGGGTAAAAATAAACTGCTTGAAACTGGGTGTGGCAGATTACAAAATGTAAAGAAGGTGTGGCCACACAGAGAAAATTCTGCTGATATGGCTAATATTACCGACAATGCACAGCTTGTCACATTTAACTGGACAGAAATATCAAAAGCTGGCTTCCGGTTGTCATTGACAGGGCTAGCAAAAAGGAACAGCCCCACCAAAACACACACGCACATGCGCGCACGCGCACACACACACACAGGTTTGTAATTATATCTTTGTGGGGACTCTCCATTAATTTCCATGGGGAAAACACCAATCCCAACATGACGAAGTTAACCCCTACCCAGCCCTAACCTTAACCATAAGTAACCAAACAAAGTGCGACTGGCATTTTTAGTTTTTTGATTGTATTTTCAGATCTTCGCGGGGACATGAAAAATTGTCCCCACAACGTCAAAATAACAGTTTTTTTTATCACACTGGGGGGAACATTTGGTCCCCACAATGTAATGTAAACCAAATGCACGCACACACAGACAAGCTCCTTCTCATAGAAGACCCAATATAGCATATTTATTTATGTTTAATACAAAAATGTTTAAAATCATCAATAGTCTAAAATTATGAAACTGGAGTTTGCTGACACCTACTGGAGACTGAAAAAAGCTCAAATGTCAAATATCTATTTGTAAATGTTCGACAGGAGAAGTCACAATTATCTATTAACTGGACAGCCGAAATTAAAGAAATCCAGCAAACAAGTGCCGCCTGGTTTAATTATTCTTTGTATAATAGGTTAATTACTCATCCATTTATTGGAACAAATATGTGAGATAACTTTACACCGACGTAATAATTGGTTTGGTCACCGTACACACCCCTTACATAAACTCCACAATAAAAGTTGGACTGGATTCGGCAATACCAACCAGCACAAACATTTTATTCCTCCGTCTCAAACTACGCGATCGACTCCACCTCTCACGTGGAACTCCCGGAAACCGGAAACTGTAATTTAAATAATTAATTAAAGTATATAATTCTAGATATAAATATATTCAATAATTTGTTAAAACGTATAATCTAACGTTGAAGTCTCAGTGGGGTTGTGTCTGGAGGACAGAAACACTAACATTGTGAATAAATATGACGTTAAATTTCAAATGAAAACCGGAGGGATGACACGTGAAAAAAGGTAGGGAGGGAGACGGCGGCAGGAAGTGACGCAGCGGAAAGAGGAGTGTCCTTTTCCACCATTAGGTGAGTGTGAGTGTGGCTGCGTTTGCGGCTGCTCTCCTGAAAAACTCGCTAAAAGACAGTAAAAACGCCACTATTTCTCCTTAGAATTGACATTAACGGATCTGCATCTTCCTCTTGTATTGTAGGTAGCAAAGATGGGTCGCCGGCCCGCCCGATGGTGAGTGAAAAGTGGGGTTTGTTACTCCGGAGCCGGCTGGCAGAATCAAGATGGCCGCACATGACCACGATAATGATTGCGAACAAATAAAATAATGGCACATGAAACTCCTAAAATACACCTGTCAAATAGACAGAAATAGTGAAATAATGAAAACATTAAATACTTCAACATCGAAGTGGTGTAGCGCTAGACGGCTGGCGGATTCAAAGATGGCAGCGTGTGTCCCACATACCATGTGCCGGCGTGCTTGGGCACTGAAAACGTCATATATCGAGAACCTGAAATATTATAGCATATTCAGAACTAGTACCGAGTTCCTGAAATGCTAATATACGGGTTGAATATAAACACGTTAAGGAAATAGCGCGTAATCGGCGAACCATGTGCGCACTTGGTCACGAAATGGTTAAAATAGTAATAGAATTTAAAATGTTCAAAATGTTATTCGACGGCATTGTACTTTATAGCAGACATTGTGAAATACAAGACTAATTGAGCTCTTAAAACATTTACCACGTGTCAATAATACAGAGCCGTGCAAAAGTATATGGTATTATGTATCGTACTGTGGTTATTTGGTAGGGTGCGATGGATATACAGAAAATTTAAATTTAATTTTTATGTTTCCATTTTAGCTACAGATATTGTAAGAACAAGCCTTACCCCAAGTCACGATTCTGTCGGGGTGTGCCTGGTAAGTTTGTCTACTGTTTCTTTTGTGATTGTGGTTTAAAAACATTATCCGTGTATATTTTCCTGCAGTTTATTAAGCCGACCAGGCTGGTCTGCTGTCCAGCTCTGGTGTGCAATGGCTGCAGACAGTGACCCTCTCTGGTTGTGTATGCTTCCAGCTGTGAGGTGTTGGATGCGCCAAGGGACCTTTGAGACATTCGCAAAAATAGTTTATCATTGTTTTCCATTATTTAATTAGAGCAATATGAAGGCACAGAATGACCTACAGTCAGATTTACGTCCATTGAATCCACAAGCTGGTCCTTGTAGAGTTTGACTTTAAGTCTTCCCATTCTCTCATGAACCAGACCCCAAGATCAGAATCTTTGACTTGGGTAGAAAGAAGGCGAGGGTGGATGAGTTTCCGCTGTGTGGTCACATGGTGTCTGACGAGTATGAACAGCTGTCCTCTGAAGGTATGAAAAATTGTCTGTTTTTTTGCTAGTTGTAAGAGCCTTTTAGCTATAACTACAAATAGGTGTCTTGAACTATTGCTGACACCTTGAAAGTAATATTGTTTAATTTGGGTGGGGAGTGATTGAAGCTTATGAGTTTTAGGCAGAATTTGCACAGTTCTCTCACCTTATGAGACATATTTGTAGCTGGCTGACTTCCGGCAGGGCCAGAGAAAGCTCCACAGGGTTTAAGTCCTCTGGTGGTTCTTCCCAGCTCTTGAAGCTGCTCGCATCTGCGCCAACAAGTACATGGTGAAGACGTGTGGCAAGGATGGCTTCCACATCCGTGTCCGCCTGCATCCCTTCCACGTCATCCGCATCAACAAGATGTTGTCCTGCGCTGGAGCTGATAGGTGAGACCTGAGGTCTCTCTCCTGCCCCCCTGCAGCTTATTAAGCCGACCAGGCTGGTCTGCTGTCCAGCTCTGGTGTGCAATGGCTGCAGACAGTGACCCTCTCTGGTTGTGTATGTTTCCGGCTGTGAGGTGCTGGACACGCGAAGGGACCGTTGAGACAGCTTTAATTACTCTGACTTGAGTCTGACGTTGGTTCCTCACCAGATATTCATTTGGCGACTTGCTTGGTTTCAGATAAGTAGCTGTTAAGTACAGGTTTGGTAACCGAAACAACTATACCAGGGTTTATTGCAAATAAGAATGTTAGCTGAGTAGGTATAGTACTGAAGTTGCTATCTTATATTTGAACATCTTTTTTAAACTTTGTCCTTTGTTGTTTTTTACACTGCTGTTATTCAGTTTTCTGATTTTGTTGTGTATTCTGTATATATTCAGTTTTTTTATATTCATCTAAATTTTTCTGTATTTTGTCCTGTCTTTTTGTTTCTTGCCCTGATAAGGATAGTTTTCCAGCTGAATTGCACTTTGCACAATGATGGGCATTCATTCATTCATTCATTCATTCATTCATTCATTCATTCCTTCCTTCCTTCCCTGCAGGCTCCAGACTGGAATGCGTGGTGCTTTTGGGAAGCCCCAGGGCACGGTGGCCCGTGTCCACATCGGCCAGGTCATCATGTCTGTGCGCACCAAGGCCCAGAACAAGGAACACGTCATCGAAGCTCTGCGCCGAGCTAAGTTCAAGTTCCCTGGCCGGCAGAAGGTACAGTCAAAAAGCTGCTAACTGCTAATCTGAGGCCGGCGTTGTCTTGTAGCCTGTTGTCCAGCCCCCACCCCCAATGATCTGTGTACATTTATCTGAATAGATTCAGGACACTGTGCACAACTGTCATACCTGGAACATTGTGGAACTGGGATTCAGAAGATTATTTATAATGATCCTTTCGTGTCTTCAGTTGTCATTGACTGTCACTAACTTTCTAATTCTGTCATGAGTACTCTGCATATTTGTCTACCTTCATATTTAGCTCAATTCAAGAATTTCCTCCTGGAATCTAAATATCATGTTCCACATTCTGGGCACGTTGGTGGGAACGGAGGAGAATTCACTTTGTTTCCTTGTCTTCAGATCCACATCTCCAAGAAGTATGGTTTTACAAAGTTCAACGCTTGTGACTTTGACGAGATGATGCAGGAGAAGCGTCTGATCCCAGATGGCTGTGGCGTGAAGTACATCCCAAACCGGGGTCCCCTGGACCGCTGGAGGGCTCTTCATGCTGAGTAGATGATGCTCTGCTACTGGGTAATCTGACAAGATTGTGCAGTCAGGCAATAAAGTGCTGAATATGAACTCTGGAGTGTTGGTTCTGCTTCTTTCGTGTGTCAGAGTTCTAATTTGAATAGTATACATGTAGAATTCTAAATGATAGCTTCCCTATAGAGGGAGTTTCATTTAGTCCTAAGGTTGTCCAAGTATAGTGCTGGCTGTGGATGATGTCACACTGCATGACTCTACATGATGTGAGAATGTATATGTTCAAACTCTTTGGTTGGTTCAAGCCTGCATGAACCTGTAATGCATTCAAAGCTGCTTATGTACAGAAGGGAAGAACAAATCTACACCAGTGAGTCTGAGTTTTATTCTTTAATATCCCTTTGGCCAAGGTTCCCCAGTTCTGGTCCTGAAGGGCCAGTTTGTGACAGTTGATTTCTCTGCTCACCTATTAATTAGCTGGTTAAAATGAGCAGGGACCCCTGCAGTCTGCTGGATTCTGGCCCTCTAGGACCACAACTGGGGAACCCTGCCTTTAGCGCTTTGAAAGAAATGGCAGGTTTGGTACAAAAATAATTTTCCTCAATGAAAACACAAATCAACCACAAATAATACTGAAAGTGCTGAAACAGAGGAATATTAGTATTGCCCTGTACACATGATCCCTGAATATCTTTGTAGTGCCACAGGTTGCAACATGTCCCTTTTCTTTAAAGCAGGTGCTGTTTAGTGTTGAGGGGAAGCGTTTGCCTGGTATCTCAGGAAGCCTTGCGTCTTTTGTACATTCATTCCAATGTCTCCCTTTGGTTGCTCACACATTACAATATAATACTACAATGGCAAAAGTGTGTCTAAAATGGAGAAGTCTTGATTGTATGAAAATAAAAATACTGGATCTTTTTTAAAAGTGGCAAAAAGTTCATCAGAAGTTTAACCTGAATTGCTTCAATGATCATTTTCGATGGTATAAATAAAATTGACTAATTGTGGATAGTAGTGACGGCCAAATGAAGCTTCATGAACCATTTTCTGTATTTTTTGATCTCACTAGATGGTGCTCTTAGTTTGTATTGGGGCATATATTGAGCCCTTTTTTGGAACAGAGAGCACCATCTAGTGGGGTCAGAAAGTACAGCAAATGGTTCATGAAGCTCCATTTGGCCGTCACTACTGGATCAGAGCGGTCTGCTCTTCCGGTACATTCCTGTTCTTCTGACAAAGTACTTCAGTAACTCTTCAGCCCAGGTCTGCAAGAACAGATGTGGCCGCAGTCACCAGAAGGATCCAGCATGCTCCCGTCTGCGCTGAGCTTGCTCGGAGCTTCAGCGTCACCTCCACTGGGTAGTGGTCACTGACCTCCAGGGCCTGAAATAAGCCCAGATCTCAGTGAATATCCACAGAGGCTCAGAGAAAGCAGAAAGTACTTAACGCAGGACTGCAGAGGGAAATGTGCACACTAGGAAATTATCACTAATATGAAAATAAACTGCTCTACGCATCATTATTCAGTGTTGACTAGCAGCAATGTCATGGTATAGTTAAGCTTCCAACTTTATGAAAACACCTGCGCTCTGTTCTGCATTGTGAATGTCTGATTTGCATACACAGCTATGGCTGGCAGTAATTATCTATGTATGATTCTGTAGATGATTCAGATGGTACTTTATAACAGGTCCTCTTCCTATTGCAAACAGAGCTAACATCTTAGGTTTACAAAAAGCCAATCTTCCCATAAAGCACAGGATTTGGTCCAGATCATAAACCAGTTCATGACTGGACACGCATCATGGCCAGTCCACATCTTCACTTGAGCTACTTGTCTTTGATATATAAGGAAAAACCTACTCACTGAACCACTCTGTCAGTTGTACATGTTTCCCTATTTGAGGATAATAGGAGAGAAAGGTAAGGAGCATGTGCTGATTACAGCGTATTGCCACACCCACCACACGAAAACCACCTGAGGGATGAGAACCTGAGTGCAGTCAGCAATACCTCAGCACCACACTAGTCCAATTGTAATTAGATTTTCCAATTGCTGGAGGGCCAATCCTGCCACCTACCCTCAAATTCTCCCTGCAAGTTGGAGGACCTACTTGCAGGGCTGTATGTAGATTAACGTACAGTATATACATACCCAGGACGGAACACTTGCAAGTTAAGGGCCTTGCTGAAGGGCCCAACAGGGTAGAATCACTCCAGGCATTCACAGGATTCGAACCAGTAACCTTCCAATTACTGGCAGACATCCCTAGCCTCAGAGTGACCACTCTGCCCTTAATTGGAGGGTACACTGTAATATCCACATTGATTTTATGTCAATTGAAAACCTTTTTGATTGTACAGTGTAACTGTCCCCATCAGTCTGAATCCAACCTGCTAAATAAACCTATAAAGAATTGGATTTGCTGTCTATGTACCAGTTAGTAAGATACTGAAATTAAGGCACAATTTTTCTTTTTTACTCAATCGTTCACTGAGATAAGGTCTGATTTCATTCTCCAAACCACAGACTAAATTGCTTTAATCTACATGATGGCGAGTTCAAAAGCAAGGAAACTCACATCTGTGTTGCCAGGACGACCAACCCAAAGCATAAAGGAATGGAATGATCGCGGCATAACGGAATTTAGAAGAACAAGGGGGGCGCAGAAGAATGGAGACATCTGACCTGGTCTTGTGACAGGTAGAAGGTCGTGGCGAAGTTGAAAGCTTTTGCTGACTTGTCCACTATGGCATTCAGGAAGTTCTCTCCATGCACGACAATACTAGGTAGTAGATAGAGGAGGCAGGGATCAACAGAGCCATCAGTGAAAAATGACAGCCATGGAAGAGCCAGCACAGTGCTCCTTACCGGTCGTAGGCACAGGTGGTAGTGTCCCTCACTGTGGTGTCCACCTTGTCATCGATCAGCCAGTGGAAACCAGGCACTGTTAGGAGTCTGATTTGCTTTTTGTTTTTCTTCGGCAAGTATCCACACCCCGCATTGAAATCACCCAGGAACATGATGTCCTACCAGCATCCCATTGGATTGGAGGAGAGCCGGAGCCGCAATGAGGTGGAGGTGCAGTGGACGTTAAAGAAGAAAGATTCAATAGACGGCCTTTGAGGAGTAGTGGAGTATGCCGTGATGTGCAGGGCAGAGCATTGAAGCCCGTAAGCGGTTATTTTCAGCGTTTACTTCAGCTTACCTCAACCCCCCACTTCTTCTTAACATCTAGGAAGACGTCGTACAGCTCATCAATCTCTTTGGTGGCGTTGGACGGGGTGGTGTGTTGTGGGATTAGGACAAACTCTCCGATCACTGCCCACAAACAGACAGTCACTGTCAGTATCATTTTCTATTGTGAATGCAAGGATGCCCATTTGGGTACGGATGGCAGGGACATGTCGCTACTAATATTGTAAGGTGGGGGAGTTTGGGGATGATTTAGTCCCTACCGGTGCTGAAACCAAACCTAGGCCCATGGCTAATGATCTAAAACTGAGAAATTTTGCTACTTTTTGGTTAGACCGGCCTCCTTTCTGCTTATGCTCACTTGTCGCTTTACTTTTCCGAGAAGTCACACTTCCTCATAACATACAGCTCCGGAAAAAAATTAAGAGACCACAGCACATTTTTTTCTTTCACTCATTTGTCAATTTATGGGTATATTTCTGTGTAAAATATACACTTTTGCAAACTGTAGCCCGGCTCTTCTCTGTTTCTCATTAATGAAGGGCTTCCTCCTTGCTTTATGGATCTACAGTCCTGCTTCTAGGAGCCTGATACGAACTGTCCTAGCAGAGCACTTCACACCTGCACCTAATGATTCCCATTCCTTTTTGAAGGTCACTTGATGTCATCCTACCAATTCATGAGAAACTGTCGGATAAGTTGATGGTCATCTCTGGCATTAGAAAGTCGCCTCCGCCCTCTGCCTGGCTGGTTTTCGGTCGCTCTTGGTGTCTCCTGATTCACCTTGCTTTTGTTTACTGCTGTGTTGTAAACTTTGAGCCTGGAAGCAGCCTGCTGCTCAGCATAGCCTTCTGCCAGCAGAACCAGGATTAAACCAGGAATTAAAAATGCTGATTTTTTTTTTTTTTAAATATGGTGAAGTCTCTTAATGTTTTTCCAGAACTGTCTGCAAGACTAACGCCTCCCCGGCCCAGGTGAAGGTACTCCTGGGGACCCACCTGTGCGGGGTGCCCGTAACCTGATAACGAAGGGCTCCCGGGCAAAGGCGTCCTCGTCTCCTTTCTGTGCGTCAGGGTACTGGTACTGGTCCTTCACCGTCACCGACCCCTTCCTGTAGCGAAAGAGGTTACAGATTCCCCCCGTCACAGCAGCGAGGGCTCACCGCCCACGAAAAGGTGGGTTTCATTAAAATTACTTTGCTCCTCCATAACCACGAAAAACCCCCATAAAGCCCCGTGAGACACCACAAACAGAAAAAAAGAAAAAATCGAGAAAGTATGAGGGAAAAAAAGCTGAAATAAGAACGATATCAGTGAGACGGCAAAGGTAGAGGCCGGCTGACCTGTAAACAAAGACGTACTGCTCCTGGTATGTTGGTGTCCTGCCAAGTCGAGCACTGGCCACATAATCATACTGGTAATTTCTGTCAAACCTTGAACAAAGAATAGCGGGATTAATGCGAGGTGTGACAGACAGGACTGTCCAGCTCCCAGCCTGACTAAGAAGCATTTGTTGTGGCTGCATGACACTGAATATCCCATATATTATTTACTTCATTCTTATTAACTTATATGTACTATTTCATCACATAATTGCTGGTTAATAAATAATTATGCACATTTTCAAATGTCACATTTATTCTCCTGGGGAGTTTGAGTCTTACCTTCAAAAACACATTTAACTGCACACAATTATTTTCTATTTGCAACCAACACAATGAGTTTTCTAATGTCAGTTCCAGCACTGCATGTTCAAACATATTAAGGTTATCACACCCAGACAGCTACTGACTGCTTACTTGTTGAGTGACAGCAGCAAGGAGCTGATGACTTTGGATTTGGTGTCTCTCACCTCCTGGAGCAGACAGACATCACAGCGAGACACGATCTGGAAAAATAACCAAGAGCAGGAATCAAGAAACTCTGCACAGGAAATATTAAAGGTTGTGTGGCAAAGCCACCATTCTGCGCAACAGCAAAAGCGTTAAAGTGAAATGAAACTGAGAATCTCACACATGCACACAGTAATACACACTTACATACACACATAACATAAACCCACTTCCGCAATACATGCATTTTTTATACTGAACTCACTGTTTTATTACAGATGCTCCTCACTTAACGACCGAGTTCTGTTCCTACGACTAGGTCGTTAAGCGAATTGGTCGGTAGCCGCCCCTTCCCGATATTTCAAGCAAAGGAATAGATGGAATCAGCTTTAACATACATTATTTAGGTTTGCATGCTATAAATACAGGTAATTGTTTTTATTTATTCTGAATAAAGGAAAGGTCTAAAGGAAACTATTATCATTTGCATAAGCCTTACATGTGACAGAACATGAAAATACAATGAGCAAAAATTATGAAAATGATTTACAAAAAAAATTGCAAGGGAATGTGACTGAGACTGGGACTGAGACCGGGACTGAGAATTGTTAGGCTGGCAAAACATTTACCTTGATGACAACGTTCATAACATTATCTTTGCTTGACTTGGAATCACCAAAACTTTGAATGTTGAATGCACAGATTTTGAAGCCTGAGCTCTGCCTTGGTGAACAAAGAATAATTAAGATGATAAAGAGGAGCGATGAGAGGAGACCCATAGTGGTGCTGGGGACAGAAGTGGTGAGAGAACCAGTCAGGAGATGAAGCCAAGACAAGAACCAACCACATCAGAGACACCATTACACTTTTGCAAACTGCAGCCTGGCTTTCCAAAACAGTTGGAACATTGTGTAAAATGTTAAAAAAAAAAACAAAAACAAAAAAAAAACAGAATGCAATGATTTAGAAATCATATAAACCAAAATAATAGAACACATTTAAGACATCACGTCAAATGTTGAAACTCAGAAATGTTATTGTTTTATGACAAATATACAGTGGTACCTCAGTTCTCAAACTAATTAGAACTCGAATTTCTTAAAAGTCGAACCAACCAGTTAGAAAAAAATTACCTAGAACTCGATCTGAATCTCAGAAGTCAAACCCTGAACGCTGACCTAAGATAACTTGTACGCTCGGGGAAATGAGTCACGCGGCACATCTCTCAGCAGAAAGAAAGGGTAAAGCTTCAGTCTCAGCCTCGCATTCGCTGTGATAGCATCCTGCATGTTTACACTAGCTGAATACATATACTTAGACAGTAAAAATTCATTTAGACAATGATAGACAGTAACAGTAATTATTATATAATAAAAAAATACGTTTAAAAATATAGATTTCTTATTAATTATTTTAATATTAATAATAAACCATTAATACGTTTAATTATAATAATATTGTCCTGCCGAGCAGGGACAGAACAGAGACAAAGGCGCAGACGTCAGGGTATCGGAGAATACGGGGTTTAATTACAGGTAAGGCAGGCAAAACGCAGACGGACAATACAATTACCAGGCTGGGGAAACAAACTGAAACGCAGACTATACAGACGACTAATGAGAACAACCAGAGACAGCTGATCACATGGGGATTCCACACGGGGTTAACGAGGGGGCGTGGCACACGGAAGGAGCGGACAATCGGGGCAGGACACATTGTTTTTTTTAACTTCACACATTGTTTGGATACATTGATTTTCTTACTTTACAAATTGTTGTTTTGATAAATGTGCTTAGATGTGTTTAGTACAGTATATGATCTTCTTGTTTATCCGGTTCATTTTGTGTTTAAATGCTAAATAAACATATTTAGGTGTAAATTTTTTTGGGACCAGGAAACAAATAATTGGTTTTCCATTATTTCTTAAGGGGAAAATTGGATCAGAAGTCGAACTTTTTAGGATTCAAGCTGGAGTTCTGAACGGATTAAGTTCGAGTTCTGAGGTACCACTGTATACGCAATTTGAATTTGATGCCAGCAACACATTTCAAAAAAGTTAGGACAGGGGCATGTTTACCAATTTGCTACATCACCTCTTCTTTTACCAACACTCTGTAAATGTACTGGGAACTGAGGAGACCAGTTGCGGGAGTTTGGAAAGTGAAACATTGTCCCATTCTTGCCTGACATAGGATTTCAGCTGCTCAGCAGCTCAGGGTCCCCTTTGTCGTATGTTTTTTTTTATATGTGCCAAATTTTTCAATGGGTGACCTGTCTGGACTGCAGGCAGGCCAGTTTAGCACCTGGCAGAGATGGGCAGTATTTCAATGAAATGTATTTAAAATATGTATTTAATTACTTTTTAGTATTTTGTAGATGTAATGCGTAATTACATCTACAAAAGAATACAAGAGAATGTATTGTATGTTTTTTTAAATATTTAAAATACTTAATTAAATATGTAATTTATTTTAAGAACCATCATCACCTGACTTACAGACTATTAAATATAGGCTATCACCTATCTGGGCTAACACCTATAGGCTAACACCAAAGCTGCTTTGGTGTTCAGTGCAAATTGCCTTAAAGTATGTAGTAAAATATTATATCAAATATTGCTCAATGAATGTCATTATAGCACAGAAAAATAGAGCAATTAGCAAACAGCAGTGCTGTACTCAAGAACTAGTGAATTAACTTGCTAGCCTGCTAGTGGCATTATGGTTAACTTTACCAGGCATGCTCAGGCCGTGGCGTCTTGTGGTTTGTCATGTATGGGAACCTTCATTAGCGGAAAATATGGCTATTATATGCATTACAGTCTCTGGTTCCTATTTTTTAGCTGTATATCTAAAAAACAGTTTCATCTTTGAGTTTGCACATGTTTGGCACTCTACTATAAGACAAAGAGGGAAATTGGTGCATTATGATTTAAGAAAGTGTTGGTGAGCCTCCTTGCTTGTGTCAGTCACCGCCACTCATGCTGTGGGAAACACGGTTTATAAATTAAGGGTGCGATGGTTCTGCAACCGAAACTGGGATGCAAACACTTGTCATCTGGACACCTGCCAACCCCAAGACACTGCCACAGGTGCAGCCTGGCGGGCTCTCATTACATTACTAATGTAACAAAACTCATTTTTCATTTCACAATTAATATGTAAATCACTAAATTATTATTCTTTTTAAAGTTAGGGCAAGCTGTATATTTTGTAAATATTACACATTACTAGGACTGTAACAGCACACTTATTCGTTGTTTTTTAGTCTTTTCAAATTACAAATGATTTGTATTTTAATTAAATACATTTTCTCACACCAGATTTTGTATTGTATTTTGTTACATTTGATGAGCAAGTATTTGTAATTTGTAACGACCACGGGACAGTTTTCCATTTTGCCTCTGTCCATCTTAAATGAGCTCAGGCCCCATGGTGTTTCTGGATCATGTTTAAATTTGGTTTCGTCTTTGCATGGTAGAGTATCATCCTGCATTAGTGGGTACAGCAACGATCTGTGTTCACAGATAATGGTTTTTGGAAGTGTTCCAGTGTTTTTGCATTACCCAAATTTTCCAGTCCGTTATTGCCCCATCACAAATTTTTTGGAACGTGTTGCTGGCATAAAATTCAAATTGAGTATGTATTTGTTATAAAACAATGGCATTTGTCAGTTACAACATTTGATATGTTGTCTTTGTTCTATTTTAAATTAAATATGGGTTTATATTATTTGCAAATCACTGCATTCTGTTTTATTTACATTTTACACAGCATCCCAAAATCTGTTTTTTTGGAAGCAGGGCTGTAGAAACCCAGAAAAACTACTTTGGAAAAGTGAAGGCCAGGTTTACTAATTTATAATTACAAAATAAGCTACACAAAAGAGAAGAATTTGGAAAATATAAATAAAAAAGGGATACACTGCAATTAAGCAGAAAAAAGCTACAGAGTGACAGCAACCACTGCACAAAACAAGCTCTTACTGAAACTGTTATTTGTAACTTGGATCCCAGATCAACAAGTACTGGCAGGGCTAATTATGAAAATACAGAATGGAGGGTTCCCAATTGGAAAGAGCCAGAAAAAGATGTTTTGAATTTACTAGATCAGAGACAAACTAATACAAATAGTTAAAACGCTCTGAATATTAATATGACACGTAGCCTTTCAAGAAATTGGCTAATTACACAAACCTTCCTAAACCCAGATGGAACGTGTTTATGTTCAACCTGGATTCAGATGATCAAAATGATAAACACTAGGCGTTCATGGTTCACAAGATCCAGTGAGGAAACGAAACAAAACAGCAACCTAAATTCCCAGTTTTACCTCTTTCTTTCCTTGTATTACTCACAACATGCACTTTAAAGTACTTCCACAGTACACAGGAATAGTTTTGTCTCTCCTACCTTACACTTTGACTGGACATGTCTTTTTTGAAGCGGCGCGGTGTTCAGCTTAATGCTCCGTTTAAGAACACAGCTTGGAGAGTGTCATATTACTTTGGACACTTGCACTTCCTTTCCGCCTTTTTTGTCCTTCCTGTCTTTGAAATTTGAACCAAAGTCACTGACACTAGCAGTAGCTGCTTCCTTAGCAGAAAGCGGGAGGAAAAAGTGCAGGAGTAAACGTGTGGGGATGGGGGGAAGGGACGGGAGGGGGGGGGGAGGGGTCAGTGTGCTCATTTGCTGAGGGCTAATATGTAAACAGCTCATAATCATTAAAGGTGTCATTGAGAGCACCAATCAGAGGAGCATTTTTAGGCACTAGTTCTCCCTCTTTGAGGCGTTTTCTTAGTAGCCTGTCCCACCTTCCACTTCCCTTTATTTTTGAGTATTTTACAAGGACCTCAGAATGTTTATCAAGTTAAAACCTGACAATTCAGATCAGATTGGTGAAAGTTAAGCCCTCTGAAATAATCATGCTCAAACGAACCTTAGGGCTGAGCTCATGAAAAACACCAGCCAATAGGGAACAGTGGCTGGCTTCACATACGCTGCTTATCATAAGACCACTAGATGATAGAATGGCTTCTGAGAAAGAGCGTAGCCATGTGATCCTCTGTTATGCTTATCAGGACCCAGCACGTGTGGTATATGCACAGATGGTGGCAGTAATAGATAGACAAGCTCAGTTATCCCCCATTGCCTCAAACTAAACGCTGAACGTTCGTTGCCTTGACCAAACGTGCACCTGAGATCTCCCCATTATTTTCAGCTATATTTCAGTCACATGGGTTTTTCGAGTTGTTGAAAGGAACTGAAATGAAGGGAAAATGCAACAACAAACCTGTAACAATGAGTATATAAAGTGCACGTCTTTATTCATTTTACAGTGTGAGTTTGTTGCACAGCAACTACCAGAAGCACCACTGCTGTGGACAGTACTGTGGTTTAATAACCTTGCCTGGTGGTTTATTTGGAGGTAGGTTTGTATGAGGATGTCTTGCCAAATCACTTCGGGGATTTGGAGAAAGTGAAGGGAGTTCTGGAGCTCAGAGAACAAGTAGTCTTATTCTCATTTTCAGCTGGGATTCTGTTGGGTTTCTTTGAATTTTTATTCAGCGTAAATGTTAGTTTAATTGTCTCATCCATGCAGAGCAGGGGGGCCTGTTAAGTCCTGTTAGGTACTGGATGCCAAACTGGATGATGTAAGACAGGGGTGCCCAACTCCAGTCCTGGAGGGCCAGAGTCCTGCACATTTTTGGGTTTCCCCTCATTTAACACACCTGATTCAGCTCCTTGTGCTAATTACCACACAGCTCTTGAGCTGAATCACTTCAGATTGAATCACATGGTGGAGCAGGGAAAGAACTAAGCTACACAGGGCTTCAGGCCTCCAGGACTGGAGTTGGGCACCCCTGATGTAGGAGGAAGAATGCTGCAGCACAAATGTCTCCCTGCCTATTGTAAAGCAGGTACAGTATTCCCCTTCTGATGCAGATTCAAATTATGCAGTTTCTAGTTTACATGCTTGGCAATGGAATAGAAAATGAGAGAAAACCTGCTAGAAATGATACATTTTAATTTGCATGCCAAAACCATTTCTCACTCACAGAGTCCTTTAATTCTCACTGGGCTGTGCCCCCCCCCCCATTTCAGTAGCCGGAGGAATGTTGAGAGGAAAAAGATCATTATATAGAGAACTAACAAACAAAGGAGAGTGCGAGAGGAAGTAGGCTAGTATTGTATTGTTACAGTAGTTAAAGTTCAGTTCATTTTCATTGCCGTTTTATTTCATTAATTGGACTCCTTGTCATTCTTGATGAGATCTTGAAGTGACTTGTGACATTTTACTTAATGTTTCTTGCCGTTGTCTTGCAGCAACGATAGTTGGATAATTAAGGTTAACATTAAAACTAAGGAAATGATTGACCAAGTGGTTTGATGACAGAAAATGGCACGATGATGTCATTGATTAATGGATTTTGAGATTACATTGGAAAATGAAGTATCAGGATTTATCCCTGCCTTGTCCTCTCCTGCATGTGCTTAGGCCTGGGGGACTGTGTGGCTGAATGGGCTTAACAGGTGGCTCCAATCCAAGTAACTCCTCTGTTGTGTGTTCAATGCTGGCTGGAAACCATCCTAACCCTGTTGGACATTTTGTGTTCAAGCGCCCTGGGATTTGTTGTGTATTCCATGTTTATTATGTGTTCTTGTACCTCTGGTCGAATCCTTATTACCTTTAGGTGCCCCTGAATATATCTATTCTTGTAGTATGTTCTGTTCCCACATTTCTACTAGCTCCTTGTATTTGTTAATTTTGTTAATTCTCACCTGCTCCTCGTTGCCCCTAGTCTCTTGTGTTTATGGTTGATTTGTATTGCCTGCACCTGTCCCTTGTTAGCCCTCATTATCTGTGTATTTATGTACCTGCACTTGGCTTGTGCTTCAGTTGACCATTTTTTTTTTGTATGTTGCTATAGGATTATTTTTGACAAAATTGTGTTTATCATCATGATATGACCAACCACCCCCCCCCACTACACACCATCAATTATGATTCACACATAAAAGTAACCATGTTTCTTAATGGTGTGAAAAAATTCACTTGACCTCACAGCCTCAGTATCCATGTGCTGCTGATGTCATTTGTAATACGAATATTTCTCTGCCTGCTGTTTGCAGACGAAGGGGTCATAAGTGTCCAGAAAGCTAACTACGGCTGCACAGATAGTCATGTCTGTGCCTCTAACCCCCAGAAGGTGGCCAGTGTGACTTGTACAGAAGCAACAACCACTTCTGTCCTCTCCCAGAGGTACAGACACGCTCCTTTCCCCACACAACATTACCGCTTGGTTTGCCGTCTACTTTCCATTTGTTAAGTCTGCCTGATTGACTCCTCTCCTCCCGCTTTTGCATTCTGCTAATAGCTGTAACGGGAGGTCGATGTGTGAAGTGACCGTGTCTCCTGCACTCTTTTCGGACCCCTGTCAGGGCACCTCCAAATACCTGAACTCCTCGTACGTCTGCCTTCCTGCCAGTGAGTAGACCAGCCCCTTTATTTTCTTGTTTTCTCATAATTCCACAAAAAAATAATTTGCCATTTTTTTTTTCTTTCAGAAACCAGCATAACCTGTCAGCACTCATCTGATATACTTGACTGTGGTATGAATTTCATTTTCCGTACCTCTGATCTGTTAAAAACATTGCATGACCGCAATGGCAGCAGCTGTGCATTTCTTAATATAATAACAGGAACAGATGTCATTAAAGTCCTTCATACTAATTATGGACGGAGAGACACGACGACTTGCTCTGTTGGGCGGCCACCTAAAGAGGTGATGGACGACAACTGCTTCCTGTCGGTCACCGCTGCAATATCAGACAGGTAAACATCAGGAACACATTTCTGCTTTTCTGTACATTGTATTCACATTATCACATTATCGCGTTTAAAATATACATAAACCATAACCCATGTTTAATGTTAATAAAGTGCGTTGAACCTATCAGTCAGTGTCACACCTTTGTAATTTCCTAATGATCATTTTTAGATGCAATGGGAAGTCAAAGTGCTCAGTGACACCTGATGACTTCTCAACCGACCCCTGTTATGGCAGTTTTAAATACCTTGAGGTGTCATATGGCTGCCTTGCTTCCAGTAAGATTAAAAACTCACTATAATTTATGAGAGAATATATCATGCTGACATGAACAAGAATCAGCTTCTGTTGGTGCTGACTTTCCATTACTGCTTCCCGTCTGTCTCCTCATGGAAGAGCATCACTTGTGGCGGCCCCTATGGTTCTATCAGCTGCGGTAGGACAGTCAGACAATGCTGTGACATTCTGATATTCAGAATGTTAAATAATTAGCAATGGCTACATCTGATGCATAATGTCGCATGCTGTGTGATTAAAAAAAATAATTTAAATTACTGAAATTTCTACATATGCAGGATATTCTGGTATCGCAACGGACCAAATATTCTTCTGGTGTTTGCTGTGTATCTGCAGAGAATGATCTCATTAGGATCTACGATGCTTTCTATGGGCAGATGAGCCCCACCATTTGCTCTAATGGTCGTCCTGAGTCACAGCTGACCAACACTAACTGCGCACTGGCTAATGTTGTTGACATTGTATCTAAAGGGTAATGTGCCTTTCCTTTCCCGATAAACATACTCATCAACTTCTACACAGGAGAATGGCAGCATTTTAACTCTTCATCCCCAACAGGTGTAACGACAGAACCAGCTGTGACCTTGCATTCGCTTTCACAGATCCATGTTTTGGAACCTACAAATATCTTGAAGTATCGTACGGATGCATTGAAACTTGTAAGTAACTTACATATTGTTCATATTCTGCACCTTGGCAGGTCTTCTTTTTTTTTGACCAAATCCCACCCACCCAATTATAATTAGTCTCTCAAACACAAATCTGATTTGCATCAAAAACAATCTTTCATTCCCCAGTCAACAAGTAAATAACCTTTCATTAGCATTTCAAAGTCTTGCAAATGTATTTCCTTTAGCTTTTATACCACTTTCTTTTATCTGGCATGTTTTGTGTGAGACGAGTGTCCTCACCCTCTACCTCATAGTGTATTTTTTACTACCTACTATTACCAGAGGAGGTTGTGTAAATTCACCTTCACCATACATCATTAGTTGGTTAAAGACATTCCATGAGAGTACATTATAGACAGAGGTGAATAGTTCAGGTCCTAAATGTAAATATCCAGACCAATATTTTGTTTTAACCAGCCAGTTGAATATAAAGAATAAGTCACAGAGTACTCAACTGGTTGGTTGAAAGAAAATCTTTTTTACTTTCTGGACCTGAACTATCCACCTCTGATTATTGGTTACTAGTAAATTATTGTTTTGTTTCTATTTCAGTTAAAAGTATTTCAGAAAGAAACTTAAAAAAACCACAAACTTACTTTTCAATTGACTTTACTTATACATACAAACATACATGCATACTTACACGCATAGGTACATACATGCATGCATACATACATTCATTATTAATGCCCAGCAGGGAATCTGGGAGATACAGCAACAAATAGAAACAAAAATGGACAAAAAAATAATCAATGACATGCTTAAGCAACTGAAAAAAAATCTAAATTAAAAATAAGTTTGGAACACAAACTTAAATCGTTCCAGAAGGCTGGTTGAGTTGCAATTTGGTCGAGTTCCAAGTTGAATTTCCCCATAAGAAATAATGTAAATGAATTTAATCCGTCCCAGACCCACATGATTGCCTATTTAAACCTATCTACCTACCTAACTAATGATAAAAAGTATTAACAATCAATATAAAAATAATACACACATGAAAAAGCACACATACAAAAGTGATAAACATGGAATAAATGGCATTCCCACACTCCCACATTCCCACACTCCGAAGCGAGAGCAGATGATCAGGCACCACCTCCTTTTTAAGTTCTGCAGTTACTCTCACTACTTTCCTCTTTGGTTTGCTGCTATAACTGCTCACTTTCTTAGGGGCCATGATTACTGTACCACTAAATGTACAGTAGATAAAGCACAAATATATTGACACTGAACACAGGAACATACCTTTCGCACGTTGAACTCGGTCAGGAGGTACTGCGAGACCGAGAGTGATTCATAGGGTATCAGCATCCCAGTTAGTCTGGTTGCCTTTGTTTCAGCCCATCAGAGACGCATCCCAATCTATACAAGTTTTAGCAGGTCTTGTTTTGTCATGTTCCAAATTTTCAGTTGAGTTGCAGTTAGATTTTTCTCGACCGATCTGTTCCAAGGTCCAAATTGATAGAGTTGAACATGTCTCAACCCATACAGATTTTAGCAGGAACTTTTTAGTTCCAAGATTTAGGTCAAGATACAAGTTGAAAAAAAATTCCACTGAAATTTGATATCCCAGTTGTTTGAGTTAAGAGGCATTCTAGGTTCTACTGTATTAGTAATGCATAGATTGATACTTTTTAAATTGTCTTTTATGCCTCCCTCAACTTGCTCTTTGTAGAGTAAGTTGTCTGCAAAGGGCAGCCACCCATAGCAGTGCCCAGGGAGCTGGGGGGGGGGGTTAAGCACAGATGTGCTGGTGACCTTTTGATTATAGGCACACAGGCTTAGCCCACTGAGCCACATGCTTGCCCCCCTTAGGCCCCTAGAGTGTATAGTCATAGGGGTGGGAGACATTACTCATGATAGAGAAGAGCTTGTTCCTCATTTTTGTGCCCCCACCTCCTCCAGGGGGTCAAGGATGACCCCAAGCACTGAGCTAGCCTCCTTGAACAGTGTGTTCAGTCTCTTGGCTTCCCCAGCTTTCATACCACTGCCCCAACACAACAGCATGGATTTTTGTAGCAGTAGTTGTACACAATAAAACAGCTCAATCCAAATTCTTACACAAAGTCTACACTTGTAACCATGGCAGTAGGTGGAATTCTTGAACATGTGGCCTTTGCAAATGTACTTTCCACAGTTGCAGCAAGAAGTACTTGTTTCACAGTTCTTTTTTGCAGTGCAGAAATTGCATGTCTTCCTCTTCTATCCCTTTCCATTCGCTTGCTGTGTGACTGCAGGCCAGTCAAGTTTGGACTGCTCCACAGCCCTTACAAATGCTTCAGTGGACGGCCGGCAGGGAATAGGCTGCCATCATTCCACGACAGGAGTCACAAGCACCTTTTCAAGCTCCTCCAGAAACAGCTTCCTCTCCTTCTTCTGCCTTGCCTTCCAGTTGGGATTTAGTTCACTGCATACTGTTGTAATGCAGTTGTAGCTGGAGACATCAGTGATGCTGGAAGATATCCAAGGAGCCAGCAAGCCATCTTCCTCTTGTCTGTGATTTTATTAAGATTGTCCACATCTCCTTTGTTAGCATTGTAATCTTGTGTTTTCGAAACTGACTTTAGTGCCCATGTGAAGCCTACTCATTAGCATCACTTTCTTGGTCCTCTTTGGTTCAAACCTGGTCAGAATTGACACTGAAAAAATTGTGTAGCAGCTCTGCAAAATTATGAAATTTGGTCAAATTTACATTGTTGCATATTTTGGGTAACATTTCAGGCTAGAAACTGTTTTTCCCTGCTGTTGAAGTTCAAATTTGACAGTATACTGTATGGATTAGTTTATATACATAGGTGGAGATGCTTCTAAACCCGGCTGTTTATGTTAGTCCAGCTGAGCACCATTCTCTTCCTTCCTTGTAAGAACATTTTCAGCATGCTATTAACTCTTAACCAGAGGCTGTGTGGCTGTTGTAATGACTTTTGGTCTGATTTGAATTGTATCATCGTATTTTTCTTGGAGAACCCTCAACCATGGATGAACTAATGAAACATATACATATATTGTGAAGTTGATTTACTGAGAGATTAGATAAAATACATAGTGGTGCTTATGCAAGTATAATGAAAACTGCTTATAGTCCGCCAAGCCTGGTGATTACCGCGTGGAAAAGCGAGGTCAACAGCAGAGTAAAATCAAACATCCCAAGTCCAACACAAATGTATTGCAAAATTTCACTCTTTTATAGTGAAAAAAGTTAAGCTTAGCAAAATGGTTGCAGAGTCAAAAAAATCAAGATCTGGAGTGTATGTTGACCTTCACTTAATTAGTTGCCACTTCCGCGTTAGCATTAAGCAAGTATAATTTAGTTGCCAAGGGGAAACAAGTTCTTGAACGTAGGTGAAAATTTTCGACCAGTGAAATTCATGGATATGTCATGTGACGAAAGCATATCACCTGCAAGCATTTAATATGTGTGGCACCCTCTGCACAAAGTACATAAAGTAACCTAGCATTGAAAGAAACACTCCTCATGCCTGTTGTGAACCTGTTGAGATCCGATTCTTCCGCTAAACGGACCTCCAGAGACACACCGAAAACATGAAGACCATTAGCAACCTGGAACCCAGTGCTGACTATCCTTTACCGTTTCCCATTTGTCTCTTCAGGGAGAAGCATCACTTGTAATGGATCCTATAGTTCTATCAGCTGCTGTAGGGCAGGCAGTCAGTGGTCTGGAGTGGCTTCACTTAATGCACTGATTTATTCTCCAGTAAATAAAAATAAAGTTAACCTGCAAAGATGGGGGGAGGTGGTTTGGGTGATATAAAAAACACACAAGGAACCCAGTGCTGAGAATGATGGACGTCCTCCTGTTAAAAAATGTTTTAAAGGGTTATGCCATTAAACTTTTGGCTTTTTTGTCTTCATTTGAGCATATTCCTTAGTTTGGGATCCAGGGTGAATCGTAACATGTATTTATTTGAAATGTCACATTTTCTGACAGATGAGTTATACCAGAACAAAGGTGAGATCATATTTAGAGCACAACTGATTACTGGGGAAAAAAAACATAGAAATCAAAAGGTTTAATCCCTGTAAAGTAAAGCAGTTACATGGGTCTGAACACAGAAGAGACCATTTTCCTCAGTTAAAATCTCCATGTTCTTTATACCTTCACATCATTACTTACATAAAACAAAACCAATTCAGTGGAAATGATTATTTACACCTTACACTCAAATGCACATAACAGGACACATAATTCATTCAATATTACAATAGCCACTCTATAATGTACAGATTCCCCATAGTTAATCTTCTGTTCAAAATTAGGCAACCTATAATTCGCCATTATTCTATAATCCGACTGAAATGCAGTCCAAACCTGAAATTCATAAGAAGGGTGACTATACACAATAATGCCTGCCATGAATACAGAACGAAGACAGTGTGGTTCCACTCTGGGGACGCATTCGGAGGGAAAAACAACCATTACTAATGGTTGCAGTTCACTGGCACATTAAGTACCATCGAGTAAGTCAAAGTGGGAGCCCTGGAAGGGGGAGAAAAAACCCTGAGATAAAGGTTTACAGGAGCAGAGAGCAGAAGGACACACTCTGCTCACACGGAATCTGAAGGGAGACGGGATGCATTAGTCGTTCTGAGGCACAGCAATGGCAGGACCCTTTGGGTCATCAAAGCGGTCCATGCTGCGCAGCTGCAAGATCATGTGCAGGCCGTAGGTGAGGATGAGCAGCAGGAGAAGCGACGTCACCAGGCCCATCCAGATCCCAGGTGTGAAGAAGCTGGCGCAATCGTTAGCGTAGGAGAAATTCTCCCCGGTTACGCCGAAACCCTGAATCTGTCACGGGGAGGGCGGAAGGTAGGGCCAAGTCAGACATTGCCAACAGCCCGCTTTTCAAACCACCCCTCCGAAGAAGTCCCAGAGAGCGCTCTGGTGTAAAAAAAAAAAAAATCACCCCCCCCCCCATACCTGGAAGTCAGTGAAGGTGAGGATCCACTGCTTTGCGTTGTCTGTAGGGGTGCTTGGTACCAGCAGAGGGTAGTCAGAGCTGCTGACCATCTGACAGTGGTACGAATACTCAGATGGGGCAGTGATGCCATCGCTGCCATTGAAAGTAGCATTATGACCATCATAGTTCAGCTGAACCTGGTCCAGAGTGAACCACTGCCGTGCAGAGACTGGGTAGAGGCGCTGGCTCATGGCAAAGCTGTGGAACAAGGAGATCAAGGAGACTGGCTCACATTTAGATGCTGGTTTCCTGTCCTTTGACCGCAGCCTAGGGACTGATTCCTGGCTAAGGGCTGTTACTCATCGCCATAGCAACAAAACAAGCAGTCACCGCTGCCGTCACATGGTCCGTGTCCACAGAGACGAGGTTTGCTGCTACAACAGCTGAGGGCTTCATGCAGTATCGCCGTCAAATGACTTTAATAATTCACAAAATACATGCAATCCGACTCATTACGTTTTTGGTGACAGAGGGATACTCACGTGAGTTGGAAAGTTTGAAAGCCTAGAATGTTTCCATATTTGAGGATGAGTCTGGGAGGAAAGACAAAAGAGTCTTTAGATTAGCAGGTTGACCCTTCAGCATCACAAATGTATACATTAAGTACATATAAATCATGCTAAAACTGAAGAGATCATTTAAAAAAAAAAAAAAAAAAAACTCACTGGGAGTTTGAAGCATTACAAGAGCCATTTTTTTCGACCCCACTTGAGATAAACGTCTTGTCGGTCAAGTCAGCCTTCTGCCATTGACCACTCTGAAGGACGCTGACTGTAAGATTGCTTGCCCAAAACAGGATGCAGACTTTTCCCATATTGTCAAGGATCTGCAGTGGGGCATAGACGTCATTTGTGGCCTGTAGCAAGGAGCGGCCGACTGACTGGGGGGCTGGGTTCACATCCCGTGTCACCTAGGGGCCACACAAAAGGGAGGAAGAAAAACGAAGGAAAAGGTTACAATGAGACCCACCAAATTCAGCCTGGGGAGGGAGTGTAAATCCGAGAGGAGGCGGAGTTAGAGGAGGCCCATCTCACCCAAGAAGGGGCGAGGGCCGTGTACACGGCGGTATAGGGCACGGCCTGAGCCTTCACAGCATCCAGGACGTTCCCCATCAGCCTATCTGCATGGAGGGGTGTCAGGCAAACAGCAGCCAGACAGAGGGGGGAAAAGAAAGAATATAATATATTATTATAAATGGACCTTCATCAATAACTGCAATAACTGCTTCATTGCCAGGGGACAGCGGGGGCTTGGATACCCAGGCAGATTATGAGGGCCCAGCATTTGACAATGGCCCCTGAACATGGAGGGAATATAAAATGAACAAACAAATGAATGAATAAATGATAAATTGAATGAATACATGAATGAATGAGATACAAAATTGGGCCCAAGGAGAGATTGGGCCCCTTGACAAAATGTCAGTCTATGCCCCTGATCACCAGAACCCACTCAGCAGATAAGGTGATTTTTATTTGGAAAAAATGAGCAAAATTAAACTCATGTTTTTTTATATGCTTGCCAACACACAACAAATGGCTTTTGACGTAAAGATGTCAGTGGAAAAAGGTTCCTACTCACCGTTTTCCCTGAGACTGTCTTTAGGAGCCATTTCATTGGAACTAAAAGACAAATGAGGCAGTCTGAGGACGAGATGCCCAGATTTTTGGAGTGGAAGTGATTTCTGACACACATCCACGCAGTTGCCATTACCCAGTGCCAAACGGCAGCCGAAAGACCAGCAAGGCGGGGCTGGACACATCCAGGTGCAGCTCATTGAGCTGCTCAGGGTCCAAAGACAGAGGGGCCACATTCAGCAGCCCCTGCAGCACCTCAGGGACAGAGGCAGAACCCGACACCGACGGCAACACCAGCAATGAAGAGGAGGACTGCAGTGCTGTCTGGGGGTGGGGGTGGGAGACAATGAATCCAGAAAAGTGTTACGCCCCCATCCTCTGATTTCAGCAAGGACAAGCTTCTCATAACAAAACTCACCTCCAAATTGGGAAAGACACTGTCCTGTTTGTTTCCAAACACGCCACCGTAGAGCGTGATGTCATCCACGCTTAGCTAGACAGATCACAGAAACAGCCAGAAATCAAAATGGAGGCAAGTACAGGAATACAAATCAGAACATTATACACACCTTCTCTGTACACCTGATCCTGTGCAGTTCCACTAAAACCAGGCTTGCTGTTCTGTATAAATTTTAAAACCTAGCACGTGACACATGGGCAAGCAGAACAAATTGAACCAGCAGAGAGAGGAAAAGGGAACAAATGGACCAGAAGAGGGCTCAGGGTCACACTGGAGTGACAGCTCACTGAGTCACTAACATCAGCTTTCTATTTCTATCACAACAGTTTTCTGTCCCTGTGTGGTCTTCCAACAAGACAATGGAAAGCCTGAGCCAAGTTAGGAAAAAATAAACGGGGGGGAAAAGTATGTTCTCAGACCCTGTCCTGCAGGAACAGCAGCACTGTATGAGGGGCAGAATTAGGAGCAGATCCAAATGCAGAACTCAGGTAGGTCTCCAGCTGGGATCTGGACACAATGTGACCAGCCACTGGGGGGTCCTGTGTCCACAGGGAGCCACTGTAAATTCAACAAAATCATTTTCACGTTACAAACGAACAATCCATATTTTAAGTCGATGAAACAGGTGATATGGTTAAGAATTCCCATCGCTAATGCATTATTTTCACATTTTTATCCATATAGGTGTTCAGGGATCATAAGAAGCTTGAGACCAACTTAGTAATCGCAGAAGCTAAAGTTCTTAATACAACAAGTTTTGAACGACTCGTGCCACTTTGTTCCAAACTTTTAACAAACCATAGAGCTACAAAAGTTATTGAATTCAGAAAGATACAGCGATTATCATACCGGTCAGTTCAGTTCATCGTGTGAATGAAAAGGATTACAAACTTCCAAATATCCTAAAGATCACACAGTACATATAATCTGCCACACAGCACCTCACCAAAAAACAAACAAGCGGTTACCCCTCACTGGACCACATTATCAGCGGGACGTGGTCGCTGCAGCTCCGCGTTGTGAAAACACTCAATAACAGAGAAAACACCATCATTATGCTAACAAGCCGACCAAACATCTCTTCCGCCATCTTCGCTGCCGCCCGCAGCTATTTCGACAGCTGACTGTGCTGTCACGTGAAACTGGTCAGTGCCACTTCCGCAAAGATGGAGCGGAGCTACATAAGGGGCGTGAGCGTGGAGCCAATAAATGACAAATCAAAATTCAAGTTCCACCTTAGGGACCACTTTGACCAATAATAATGGAGTATAAGCTGACTACGCTTTGACTCGAAATGAAATCTCAACATGTGGGCGGTGTCAAGTGCGAACGGTCCAAGCAGTTTTAATGGTCCCATACAACATGAAGTTATCAACTTGGATTGATTCGAAGTAGAACGATTGTGATTTTCACTCCTACCTTCTTCAAGTTTTACGCATTCAAGAATATTTTGACTATTATCAAAAGTTTTTAATAAAAATTTTAAGCCCTTCTGAAGCCAAATGAAAGCACTACAGAGTTTTCTTAGCAGAAAATGTAATGTGACATTTTTTGGAATGAGCTTTTAACGGTAGTAACTGTGTTGGGCCAGGGCTGTGAAGCACAGAGGAGGAAAGCTCATTAGGGGAAAAAAACTGCGAAGGACCACAGGTCTTCTCTCTGTAGAGGAAATCGTGCTGACCAGAAGGGTTGTAAAATGAATGCATTTGTGCAGGGGTTCTTAGAAGAGATGCGGTAGATGACGTTTTTCCATTTTAAGGACCCAAATTTAACTGTAATAACATTGCACTAGGTAGACAAAATCATGCCGTTTTAATAGTAATACAAAATTCAAAACTTCACTGATTCGATGCAATGACCAAGAAAAAAAAAAGGAATTCATTAAAGTAGGGCAACATTATAAATTTCATATTTTACAATGTCATTGCCTATCAGAGTACCAAAATTACACGGAAATTGTCATTTAAATAGTAAATAGTGCATGAAGTGAAAAATAACCGGGTACACATTGGACAAAGAAATACTCATACTTGACATTACATAGCGTCCCACAGGACATCTCATACGGTAAAAACGGTTCCATCCCTGTCAGCTGCCAAACCGTAAAATAAATCCTAGGCTCACAGATCCTGTTATGTGGCACCTCTCATATTATTAGGGAAGCAACCTTCACACAGCATATCACCAGCTTTTATCATAACCTTGTGTAGTTTAATAAGTGCACTCATGAGTTGTGATTTACTGTTTTTTTCCTGCTAAGTGTTGGCAGTCCATCCTGGGTTGTTCCCTGCCTGTAGCCTGTAGCCTCTGGGATGGGTTCTGGACCCCCCACGACCCTGAACAGGACAAAATGGATGGACGGATGGATTTTTTTTCCTTAATGGAAGACCCAGATCTATATCAGCCACGTTTAAATTATCTGTATTTTAGATGAATAAAAACATTCAGCCCTCTTAATTGCAGTGGTGTCACCTTTTGGCTTTCAGAATAAAGGTGTTTTACACAACACAGCGAGGCACATCTTAAACTTTAGCAAGCAGAAGCCCTGACTTCTAACCTGGCGACATAATGGCCTCAGGTGGGCACCATGTTTTCTAAACTTTATTCTTAATTTCAGTAAAAAAGCTTGAATATATTTTGCCGATAAACTTCAAGACGGATCAGTAAAACATCCAGAATTCTAGTCAACATGCACGTGTATCCTGCCTATATGATTATTTTACATTTATGACTCGATGTGTTAAGTGCACAGTCATATTAAATCACAACTTGCTAAATCATATTATTAAGCTAGAATCTCATTCTGATACTGCATTACGGGGAAATCAATGAAGAACTAGCATCAAAAGATTATGGGAAATTTTTTACAAAGTTTTGTCCATATAGGAATTTTTCCAGTTAGAAATGCAGTACATAGAAAGGTGAGCACTGCAACCTTTTACAAAGGAAATGAGGTCACATTTTATGATGGTGATTTGTGGCATAAAAATATTAGATAGTAGGTTTAGCAAAAACAGGAAAATAAACTCTGAAAAACCTCAACGATACCTGAAGTACACTGCTGTTCCCTCCCCCCACCTTAAAATCATTTCCATTTATCATTTCTATTTATAGTCACTGGTAAAATTTCCTAAAAGGCAGAAGAGTGTCCACACGTTACACATCTCTGGTCCAAGTGAGGTTGTGAGCGCCGCACTTCAGTCTCTGACGGCGGGAGTTTGGGCATCATCTGAGGTACAGCAGTGGCACTGCATGGCACTTGCTTCACATTTGGGGCGGACCAGGCTCAACCAAGAATGGCTATCGCTTGCTACTCTGAATCCGCTGGTGCAGGGTCTCTGCCTGGGCTTTCAGCCCATGAAACTCCACCTGGATAAAGTCAGTCAGAGCTTTCCTGATCTCCACCTGAAGAAAAATTAAACAAATACAGAGATATGTCAGTCTGAGCTTATGTATATTAGCATAAACCCAAATTTGGATTTAAAGACTGAAAACAGCTAAAATGAAACGTGTCTGTCTGAAAGAGGCTGAGAACGATCTATCTAATATTTATCCAGAAAATGGAAAAATATATAGTGAAAATTTACCTTTGCAAGATTCTGCTAGTCACTAATTGTGCAGGTGAACAGTAGGACTTTTTACTCCAGATCATTTACTCTTTTACTTAATCAGTTAACCTGGGAGCCATAAGTTAACCAATAAATTAGCACTATTTACTAAAGCTGATTGGACAGATTTACCCTATACAGCAATCTAGGAATTTGAATGTCACATAGACATGTAAGCATTTATAAAAAAATAGAACTTAAAATGTTCGTTGATGGATCAGAAATAGCACTTTAAGTGAAAATCTCACCTGATTTTTGTTCTCAGACTTTAATCTCTCGGCCAGATGCTTGACAGTAAATGGCTTCCCCACCAAAACCGTAATTTTCTGACAAGACAGACATTTTAACATAACTCACACAGTAACAGAACAAAATGCATTAAGGATTGACAAAGAATTCAAAGTAAACCGTAAACTGACTATTCTAAATATTGTAAACTACAGTCATAAGCATCCAAAAGACACAACCAGGTTATAAACATGATCATTCTTTTTACAAAAGGAGAACCTTTACTAACCTTTACTGTTGGCACTGAATCAAGATAAGAAGGATGTACATTTTTCTAAACATTTTGAAAGATATTGGGGTATGGGGTATAGATGGCAGCTCATGGAAGCTCTTTGGATCCATGATTTCTAGATCCATATTTGTAATTCAGTCAAAATCAAAGCTAATAGCAGAAAATACAAACCAGCATGGCTGCCACAAAAGCCTTGTCTAAATTTCCAATATTTCGTACGTTTCTAAATGAGTAGGATTAACGTGCCTCACCTGTCCAATCCTGGGAATATATGGAGCTTCATTGGGCAGGACGTCATTCATTCCTGAAGAAGGATTTAATAATTACAGCAGGTATATTATGGCATCCATGTGCATATTCACTGCAAATATGCCCTGTTGAGATGCTGACGTCCGATTTACTGACCTACATGCCAAAGCGGAAGGATGACGGGGTTCAGGGCGCAGTCGGCTATCAGACGCCCCACCCCTGCAGCGACAGGCAAGCAGAGTCCTACTCTTTAGGCATCTTGAAGAAAGGTCCACGGCACACAGTGCCTCAAGTATGAAGGAGTCTGCAGGTTTAAACCAGATTTAAACTTACCCCATTTTAACCTGATGAACTCCTGAGTCATGTTTACTTTTCCTGGGGGGGGGAAAGGAAGACTATTTGTCTACTGTCATGTAGTGCCTTAAACTTAAATAACACTTATTTAATTGTCATTTAATAGCTATTTTCACTACTGCATTGGTTCTGGTGCTGCTTTTTACTATTTTATTGTTATTTTTATCTTTTTTTGTTCTATTTTAATTCACTTTATTGTATCCTATAGCAAACTAATTGTACTTCTGTAAAGACATTCATTCATTCAGTCATTTTAAGTCATCTGAATATACTGCAGTTATACATGTAGCTGTGATAATAACAAACCCCATAAAGTGTTTGTGTGTCAAGGTGCCACGTTCCCTATTGGGGGGGGGGGGGGGGGGCAGTGCCATACCCTCTGGGAATATGTGAATCCACTCCCCTCTGTTCAGCTTCTCCAGGATGAAGTCCATGCCCTTCTGATACACACCATCACCTAGGGAAACAACAGAATCTGTAGGCAGGCGTCTCGTCTTTTCAATCAACAAATAAGAGCTAGGAAGTTCTGCTTGGATCTTATTTCCAAATTTAACTCCAGCAGCCTTTGGGGGGTGTTTTGTGATGGCCGGGCAGCCAATGGCAACTATACCTCGACACACAGGAACGCATTTCCCCCGGCTGAAGAACCTGGAGTGAAACTCTCGGGTGAAACAAATATCGGATGCGGCCGGAGTCCTGTGAACCGAGAGACCGGCCCCAAGCAGACGGGACAGTCGGACCCCAGGGGAAACAGCAGACAGAAAGACAAGGATGAGTGAGACGGAGCCCCATGACAAAATACTCTGAGTGTGACGCAAAAGCTTTGGTCAAACTTAGGGAACTTTGGGACGTGATAAACCCCCATCACTAAGAGATACACATTACCAGTGGAGAACCAAACTCCTCCAACGTTAACAACCTCGAATCTTACTGACTAAAAGGAGATCCGTCACACAACACCTGACAGCTCACTTTTCCATGTGCGCTTTCGGGCTACAGACGGTTGTGCACGAAACCTTGTGTTTATACTACATTTGGCTGTGGTCGGTACATGCATACAGCAGTGATATTCCATCAGACCAGAAGAGGGCAGAAGTATTGCAACAAACAAAAATACAAGCAGTGTAGTGAAATGGTAACAGCTTTTTATGAACCATTTTAAAAGTTATGACCCTTGGCTTGGGTGGTGTTAAAGTACGACGAAATTAACTGGGTCCCGGTGGTGAATTTTATCGCCAAAGATATCATAATGCCAGAATAGTGTTTATTTTGAAAATGCCAAATACCGCAGTATAATGTTTGGACAGTATAAATGATCTGGACATAAAAAAAAACTAGATATGCGGATACCTCCGCACCTCCTACAACAATAGTTCTTCTGCTCTTTCTTGGTTGACCTCTGCTCTGTGAAAGTCATTGCTGCCACCTACAGCAAACACCTAGTCAATTTCCTTGTGGGGTCATGATATTTCCTTGCCTGCCTGTTGATCTGACGCCTGCATTAAAGGCCAACATAGTCCTCCTTAAGCATAATAAAGGCAGTTCACTCACCACCTCATCTTGTTAAAGCTCCACAGGTGTCTGAGCTTCAAAATTCCTAAAGAAATGTGGAGACAATTAGAAACCCATCAAGACAATAAAAACTGCTGCAATGAACGCTACACAAACCAACTGGGTGAAAATTCTGTACCAACAATGACACGACTGAGGTTGAGAGCTGGAACTCATCATACCCCAGATGTGTGGGTCATCCATACAGGACTGATGATTTGACAGGGTGATGAGAGGCGTGTTCTGCGGCCGATTGTCTATCAGATCGTGAAGAACATTCTGATTGTCGACAGTCAGATAGTTCATGTACTCTGTAGGGGTCAGAAGAAGACCATGAGAAAGGAATAAGCATCAAGAGAGGAAGACTGAAAGGAGAGTTTCAGGCAATGGGCAAGGGAAACAACAGGTGACTCACTAGTCCAGATGTAGCTGTAGGACCCCACCATGCCCATGATCAGAGAGCTCGAGAGCCGCCAGCCCAAGTAGGGGCGTTGGGGGAACGGCCACGTCACCTCCAAGGGCATTGTGATCGCCAAGAAGACTTCATGCGGGCTGTAGTGACATCGCGCGCATCAAGTCACGATATCCACGCAAACAAGTTCACATATCCATCAGCACGCCGGTTAAATACGTACACCCCGAATCAGCTTCGCGAGTAGCGCAGACTTCCGCTTAGGGTTACTTCAAGGCTTTCGATCCCCAAAGCCAGCGGCCAATTTCGCGCAGAATTGTGAAATACCCTGCAGATCAGATGAGGGCGGTGGGATATCTAATACAGGGTTACCAACTCTCACGCATGTGGCGTGATACTCAGGCTGATGCAAGAAATCTTGCGGCATATCTATAATATTCCATTATAGACCTAAAATTAGCTACATCATAATCGTTGGGACAGTCAGACCGCACAGACTATTTACAAGGTAATAAAACTGTTACATACATATAAACGTATGTGCAGACTTTTCTCTAACTGAAATTCTCTCGCCTGCCAGCTGACCAAAGTTTGCAAACCTGCTAATAAAGAAATCAAATTTGCACCGGATGGTAAATTTCGCATAATAAACTGTATTATATATATTGTGTATAATAGACCACAGCTACTGACACTGGCAGTAAGTCACTACGATTTCATTTCTTTTGCTTATTTTAATCCGGCCCTCATACAAATGATGTACGATTGCGACAAAAGACCTGAAAGTAACAGTAATATGTCCGTAAGAGTATTTCACCTTTTCCCCGCAGACAGGAGTGCAGATCCAGGAAGGAAGTGAACCCCCCGCAGCGTTTCATGGGAAATGTAGTTCAACATTTAACAAGCCAGCGCGACCATTAAAATTTAAATTAACTTGCGAAATAAAAAACAATAATAAACTTTATTTGTATCGGTGCAACTAACTGGTTTTCGAAATAATAAATAAAAAACACTCATTTTCGTTTCACTTAATTATGACCAAGGAAAATAAGAGGGCAAGTAGGAAATGACACGTGTTGCCTACTGAAAAAAATCTCATGTGCGTAATAAAAGAAATTACAAAATTTATTTATTATAAATTATTTTCAAAAATTATAACATGTGTAATAAAGTGGGGAAATACTGTTGTATAATGTTATGTTTAGTATTTGTGAATTACAAAATATTTATTTCTCACCATAGTATATGAATGGTTCCCACATTTTTCAGTGAGCACATACTTTTGCATACACCATAAAAAAATGTTATATTTTTCATTTCACAAAAATGTAAACACTGCTGGGATATAACAGAATTGTTTTATAACATGAAAGTCCATCATCTCCTTATTTGGCTCAATGATTGTGGTCCCAGTGCTGAGGTCCATGCTCACTATAAGTCTGGAACTGCCCAGTTCAAGAACTTCATGGCCACTTCATAACCCAGAAAACATGCCTGGAAGATAGACAAAGACCCAAGGAACATTCATAAGCAACAGAGCCAAAGGTTATCATTATGGTTGATGATGCTCAGTCAGGTCTAAAGAACCAGCTTGTAAAATTGCATCCATTTTGAAATAATCAATTATCATGTGAAGGTCTAAGACCTGGGGACTATCATGGGTAGTACTGGGGAGTGACAGCCAAAGGAAGCTCCATGAACCATTTGTTGTGTTTTCTGACCCCACTAGATGGTGCATTGGGGCACGTATTGAGCCCTTTGTTGAACAGAGAGCACCATCTAGTGGGGTTAGAAAATACAGCAAATGGTTCATGAAGCTTCATTTGGCCATCACTAGTACTGGGCCTTCCACCTCAATGTTGCTATCAGGCTTAAGTTACCGCATTGGCGGGGAAAGCTCTCAGCATCACAGCGTTGAAGCCTTTATAGAGCGCAGATGCACCCTCCTCTTGAATCAGCTTCCGGAGAACATCTCGCAGACCCCTGTATTGACCATCTGTAGCTAGAACACACGGCGAGTCAACACCACAAATCTATATATGGAATGACAGAGACTGGATTTTCATTTTTACTTCCATAAGATGGAGATGATATTATTTGAGGTCTAAATACAGATCCAAGGTAAATTGTAGAGGACACTGATACTGTCCACAGTCACCTCGGTACAGCTCGGCATACCTGTTTGGAAGTTGGACTTCAGGACATCTGGTGGAAGAGCTACCAGCCAGTTGAAAATTCCAGCCACACCACCGGCCAAAAGGATTTGTGGCGTGCTCAGCTCATTCACACTAGAAACGTTCGGCAAAAGACAAAGGAGAAATGCATTTTTAGAAACTGTATACCAGTACTATATAGTTTTTCTCTTAATCTTTGAGGATTATCTCTTTAGTTCGGAGTGATTGTTGTATTGCTGACCTTCGGCCTTCAGGAGTCAGGAACTTCTTCAAGTACTCGTAAGTCAGGAAGTACAAACCAGTGGAAGGCACATCTGGAAATGCCCATATGCTTGTAAGGTTCCAGTCTGAACACTTGTCCTCATATTATCTAAACATCAACCCGGTCAATGGTCTGAACTATAATGCTGTCAATCAGCAAATGGAGTTCAGACTTAGGAGAGAAGTCATAAAAAGTAGGTCTTTCAATAATGATTAACATCTGCAAATCTTGAAATCTGGAAAATCTTTGCCTCTTTTGCCATTTGATGGCTTTGATTGTCACCACAGCACATGCAACTGCTTGAACATTTAATACTCATGCATTAGTCTCAGCACAGTGAACATGACATACTAAAAGTCTACAGTGTTTGTTAACTGCTCATTATAATGTATCATGGTACCTTGAATGAAGTGAGAGCAGGAGTTGATGTGCCACCCAGAATCATACCCAATGTAAAGCCTCCTCCTGGATGGCACGCATTGAAGCTACGCTTGGGAAGGTACCTCTGATAAGTGTGAGCATGGTTCCCTTGTAGATACTACGAATGCCGCGTTCCTTAAAAAGCTGTATCACGCAGTCCACTGGGCCGGTATACTTCCGCTTCCCTGCTGAAGACTGTACCTGTTTACATGAAAAACTCAGACCTTCTCCAGCACACATTTGGCACAGTCTATGACAATCACAGGCCACGGCTCATGAATGGAGTTACTTGCCTGCAGTAAACACTTGATTCTCTCCCCCGGAGCCACAATAACAGTCGTGAAGGTGCCGGCCAACATCCCAGCCAGATATATCTGGGTATGCCTGAACAGGTGAGAGAAGGACCACCATCCCATGTGACTCTAACCCAACTACACGTACATCTTGTTCAGTCACCAATCCAACCAGAGGCACAAGGTCTCTAGCCACTGTCGGTCGGAGATGTCATCTTGAATATTGACCCCCTTCCCCACCAGCACTGACGTGAGCGGATTGTTGGGGTCTGGCTGCTGCAGCTGCTTCCCGAGGCTGAAGCCAAAGAAGCTGATGGCCATCATGGGGGTCACACCAGCCAGGGGGGCTGCCATGCCCTTGTAGAGGCCCAGAAGCCCCTGAGGGATACAGAGCAGAAGCCAATGAACCCAGTTTCTACGTGGAGCAAAGTGAGCCGGTGGCCGGATGGGGGGAGCATTGTGCCATTTGAGTACCTCTCTGGACACTGTCTTAAGAAAGCAGTCATACGTTCCCCTATACATGACATTCTGGCTGCAGGTCCCTCTGGGTTGGGTCTGTAGACAGACCTGTGGATACATGACAGATTCCAGGGCATTATGGTGGTAAAGATGAAAAGAAGCTTGTTATTAATTGCAATTCATGCAATTTGAGGCCTTTAAATTAATATTTTTATTTATATATAGTTATTTCTCATAGTAATTATTTCTATACTTATATTTGATGATTGCCAGGGATCGTCAACCTGTTTGTACATGGACAAGTGTGTCCATGTCCAGACTCATCTGTGTCCATAGAAAAATGTTGTGATTGAGAAAAATAAATGATACTATGCAGACTATGTTTTTAAATACCATGTCTGTGGTAAAAATTGCATTTTCTTCAGAATGCCCGTCACAATTTGCCCTGCCGTTGGACCCTGGTGACTGCATATAAAAGCGACTATTTATCCTCTCTGTCACGACGTATACTTTGAATGTTCCACAAAGTGTGAATTTTTGTATCGTAGTCATACAGGTACTGGCGAAGCTAATATTAAGTTAGCGAGCCTTTGGAGGTTATTAGAACATAAGAATTTAAGAAATTTACAAACGAGAGGAAGCCATTCGGCCCATCAAGCTCATTTGGGGAGAACTTAACTAATAGCTCAAAGTTGTTAAAATCTTATCTAGCTCTGATTTAAAGGAACCCAGGGTTTTAGCTTCC